ATTATATTTTTGTATTACTTAATTCTCTTTTTAACAAGCTATCATACGCTCAATTCGGAGCTCATTTGCTCCGGTTATCGCCGTTTGAAGTTGGATAAGCAATTAGCCCAAACAACCCCAAAAACAGCTCCAAACCACTCACATTGCTCGAATTACTGCACTCAATCCACTCAACCATTTGCTCTCAAATTTTTATCCTACAAACTAGACATCTAAAACTTCATTTTTATATATCACACGCTTAATTTGGCGGAGAAACGAAGCGGGAATTAATTTCCCAAATCCGGTCCAGAATCTGCCTCAGGTGCAGGGGCACATGGGCAGTCCGTGTTTCTCTATTTTTTTCAGGCCGAAGAACAACCCAGAATTTCCTCAAAATTTGACACAAGGTAGAGGACATCTCAACCTTCAAAATGGCGTATGGTACGTCCCTAGGGGACTTCTATGGAGGGAGATATGCTCTCCCGAAGTTCGCCTAAAATCTGCCAATTCTACAGAAAATTCGCCAGAGTTTCCTTTGTTTTTCCAATAATCCCAAATTTGTAAAAGATCATTTAACCTCAATTGTACCTAATAAACACATGATAATACAGTAATAATCCAATGGGTGGCACACACAAGGACCAACAACGCCTTGGGGCACTTACAACCCAATCCAGTTTATAGTTATTAAACATAGAGTCCATATTAATCATTCTTAAGTAGTTGCAATCACTAACACCTTTTTCATGCATATTTCCATCATACATATTATCATAACCTAAGATAAGCCTAAGGCCCTTCCATCATAGTTAGACATGCATCAATACTATTACAATATGGCTTTACAAATTACAACTTGAAACTAAAACTTCAAATTACATTCTTCTAAAATTTCAACTTAATTAAAAGACAACATAACCAAATACATCACTACTAGACTTAGGCAAAATGGCATGAACAAGATGCTAATGAAGCTACTAATAAATACAAATGACATGTTCATGCCCTAAGTCTAGCCTAGGCCACACGGCCAACAAAATGCAAAATAAGAAACGCTCCATCGCTCACTCTGCGGGCCTCTTGCCCGAGGCTCCTGCTCCACTGCTACCTCCTGAAATAAATGCCCCGAGACGGGGTGAGATATACGAATATATCTCAGTAACCAAGAGGTTCTGGAGAAAACTCCACCCAATGGTTCACTTCGATGCATATCAATAGAATACAACAACCACTTTGAAAACGGGATATAGCAAGGGATTTAGAGAATGGGGAATATAAAGAAAACAAAATACGACGATACGGGATGGTAACCCCAATTCCACGTACGCCCTCGGCATATATAAGCCTATGGGTATCATCCAAGGTGTGTTCACAGAAACCACAACCATGATGCCCAAACCAACCAAAACGCCAAAGACATTCCTAGTGTGCTCCTACCCGGATCACACACCATGACACGCAGTCAACTGGAACTCCTTCCTGGAGACCTATCCAGCGGAAGTCCGAAAATGCCCGAAGGCTAATAAAAACTGTCTACTGGCCAGAGACTCGGTACTGCAGTACCCATAACAATAATGCATGCATGCTCATGTGTTCTATACTATTCATACACACTTCCTACCGTTACCATCAACTGGCAAGGTGGAACAGAAAAGGGGAACAAGCCCCAGTACCAAGAGGTTACCTTAATTCGTGTTTCCACAAGCTCCGCAGCAGCTTATCCCTCAACTCGGTACACAGCGGAATGCCTACACAGAGGACATTCCCAATCACTCTCAGTTCAACCCATACATGTTAATTTATAATTACACATGCAATGAACCAATTTCTTACCTCAATCCACTTGGTCCCAGACCAAGGGCAACTCACTGATTCAAGATTCGGGATTCAGGTCGACGTACGGCAACCTATACAATAACGTACATCCATCAGTACTCGTCAAATAGTATCAAAACACAAAATCACAAAAATCCTCCCCATCCTCCCTTGATGGTTCGGCCATTGTAGTGTAAATGTGAGATTTATTTTTCTAAATTTTCTTTCTCATTTTGTAACACTCCCTTAGGTTGTTTTGAGGCTAGTTCAATCGTCGTTTTTCCGTTTTTCGACATTTACGCATCGTTTTGCGAAATATTTCATTCTGGGCTCATTTAGGTCTCTAACACAATTCATTCTTTTCCATTGATTCAAACACTCTCCAAGCACAACACAACCCATCTAAGCACCATATAACTACTCAAATCATCATCCAAATCATTTTTCAACATCAATTCTTCAATCTTTCTTAAAAGAATCGAATTTTACCCTATGGCATTCCAAGGAATTTCCATACAACTTTAATCATTCCACACCTCATACAATCCTATTATATCAACATACAATCATACAACAACTCATCAATCCAATCCTAACACATTTTCAAAACTCAAAGTCATGACAACCTCAAAATTTTCTAAGTTAAAAATTCACATTTTTCATCAATAAATTTCATCGCATTTCTAGCTTTAATACATCATTCTAACACATTATCATCTAATACACATTTTCAAATTGAGCTCTCTAACACAACACATCATCAAATCAAGCTTTAGGTTTCCAAAAATTCAATCACAATTAAACCATGTAAATGGGATGGAAACATACTCACAACAAAGGCTAGAAGCTAACCCAAGACTCCTCCAAGCAATGGAAGATCAAAAAGCTCCATGGACAACCATTTTTTCTCCAAAATTTCGTGGCTGTAAATGGCCAATATCTCCCCAAATACACGGTTTCAAGGCTCAAGAGTGGTACCAATGTGTTTAGAAGGTTGTTTCCAACAAATTTCAACACAAAAATCACTTGATTTGGTTAAGAAATGATCAAGTTATGGTGAAAAGAAAATTTGAATGCAAATGGGGTTTTTGGGGGAGGGGGCTGCGGGTTTCATGAAGAAGAAGGGAGGAAAGTGATGCATGAATAGTGCCAAGCACATGTGGCTTAAGTCACTTAAGTGGGGTGGGTCCCACCGCCACCTCACGCGATTTAAAACTAATCCGAATTTTCCTCCGATTCCACTAAACGTCCGTAAATTCACAACCTATTTAGAAACTCAAATGTTTAACATTAACTATTCCCCTTTAATTAGGCTTGATCAGATGAATTAAGAGTCCTCCATTCGTTCGGAGAAAACACTGTTTTAAGCTATTATGCGCGCCATTGGCACGCTTCCCCAAACTGTCTTAATTTCATCGAATATTATAAGAAATCATATTTCCTAACTCATTAGACCATTTTTAACTCATATTTGAAACCTAGAGCTCAAAACTCAATCAGCACGTTTTACGGTGCAATCGTACCGCGGTATTTTTACCCGCGAAAAACACTATTCACTGATTTTTCTGAAACTTGCCTGTCCACTCAATTTTTCGTTCTGAACCCATTTCCAGGGTTATTTTTACCATCTGAGACCTTCTACTCAATTTTTATCTTCCTAGGGTTGCGTGTTGGCTAATTACCGTTTTGCCCTTTCTTTGTATTTTGGCCTAATCTTTTGGATTTTCACTAATCCATCACTTGATTGCTCACTTAATATTTTAATTACTTGATTTAAAATTGTGAGGCGTTATATCTATAGAACTAAATCTTGAATAGGCATGTTGAAGAAGGGGGAAGTTAGGTTATCTTGATAATATTAGTATCATCTCAGCTTTTCTTGTTAAAATGAAGATGCGCTGAATGTTTGGCTGAGGCCTGACTAATGAAAAGGGAGGATTATAACGACTTCGAGTGGGTAATAACTATAAATATACAAGTTGATTTTATTTTTATATTTAATAAGTAAATAGCATGATAATTAACTTTAATTTGATAAGTAAATATACAATTTTCTTTTTATTAGTTTGCAATGTGATTTACTTTAATCTTAAAAAATAATTATAATGTGATTTGTTATGGTGTTAAAAATATATTTTATTAAAATGTATTTAAAATCTTTCATTTGGGATAAAGGTGTAGTTGATGTTGTATTTAAAATCCTATATGGTTAAAAAAATTTATAAAAAGAAGTTGATAAAAAAATAAAATAATAATCAGACGAGTTTTCTATTTTTTAACTTTGAAAATATATTTTCAAAACTAAATTATCAAGCAAATTTTTTGTCTGCCTACCTTTACCTACTTCTCTAACATGTTAGAATATCAATAATCTATCCAAATATATATAGATATAAATAGTCAAAGGGTTAGTTTTTTCTGCAGTCAATGTAGATAAGTTATCTATATTGAGTCCAAAATAACGTCGTTTTGATACGAAAATCAAGGTATTTTTTAATTATAATTTATTTCAGGGTTATAATAGTTTTTCTCATTATAATTTTTTAATATTCACTGTAAAAATATTAAAGCCATAGTCACATCTTTTTACACCAATATAAATTATACTCTTAATCTTAAAGTTGATGGTAAAAACATAATATAAGAAGATTGTTTTCATGCTGTATAATATATTTTTGAATCTAGATTTTTTTTTCTTTAAAATTATGTGTTTTGTTACGATAATTAAGATGAATAATTTATATCAACTTAATAAACTAAATTGATAATTTTATTAATAAAAAACACTAATATTTTAAAATTTTAATTTCTATTATATTGAATTTTTAGTTTTTTTGGCTTACTTAGTTTTTTTGGTTGAGAAATTTCTGAAATTCAAGTGTTTGTTTACATACTGCCACTATACATGATTAATTCTGAATAGCATTGTTATTTTTCTGTTTTAATCAAAGTAATAAAGCGGTGTAAGCAAACCAAGTTGGCACTTGGTGTAGTTGTTTCTTTGTAATTGTAAAATTGCAGAAAAAACTAGATAACCCTATTCACCCCCCCTCTAGGGTTATTTCCAGCTTCTTACTTACATTCTTGGTAGCCACTTGGATAACAACAATTATACAAACTTCAACAAAATTATGTATACTTCCGTCAAAATTTACAACTTTACAATTTATCAGCTAGACATTTGACTTACTGTACTCCAGAATTTATTGATTAGCGAATGCACTTTTGCTTTCAACAATTGCAGCTCTACGTTGAGATTCAGATTGCATTTCTATCCATTCTGCATGCTTCTTCAGATCCCTGCAAAATTAACATAAATATCAATGAATGGATATTTATGCACAATTTAGCCAAATATTAAGTGTAGGTTATATGCTGAAAGAGTAACACACTTGCAACGTGGGACGCGACATTCTGAGTCCCTACAATTCTTCGAGTGTGCAGCTAGTCCCAACCATGCCTTCTTACAATACTGGCAGCCCCCACCAGCTTTAATAGTGCACTTACTGGCATGAGAGAACAATTTTTTAATTTTAATGCATTTTGGATAAGAGCAGGGCTGAGCTTTAGTTGGGCGACATTGAGATGCATGCAATAAAACTTGTAGAAATTCCTGCATCTGCATGACCAATTAATTACATGGTAAGTCAGCAAGTGTACATGTTATGACAAGGAAAAGGGGGGAAATAAAATTATAAAATCCACAAAAAAGGTAGGTTTGAACAAAAATCATTATTGCAAACTAGTCATAAAAAAATACATTATTGCAAACTAGGTGGGCATACCCATACAGGATCCTGCTTTAACTCTTGATTCTCTGACCGATGTTCTACTGTTGAACAAGTTTGACTCAACTTGTGTGTATGGAAATTAGCACCTCTCTTCTCATAGCATGCAGAGCAGACAGTGAACTCACGGCAAATCTCACATTTCCAGCTTTGTTGGAATACATTATTGTTAGAGCAAATGCTACATGGAACAGCAAGCAGATTATTTAGATGATGGTGGATCATCATTGAGGAATACTTGGCATGGCGGAGTGTGTCAAACTGAAAGTGATTCTTTTGGCAGAAACTCAAAAAGTTATGCCTAATCTCAAATAATTCATTATTAAGGATCATATCATTCTCCTTAGTATCAGAAGGGATATCATCCACGAGGACCTGAAAAAGGCACACAATTCAAAGATGTATATTATTTTGCATGAAAACACTAATGAATGAGAAAATCATATGAACCTAGCATCAAGTTTAGGCAATTACCTGACAAAGTTTATGCCTCTTGCCACTAAGTGAAATGTGCGAGTCAGCAGTATGGCATCTGAAATATTGATACAAAAGTAGATGAAATAAGCCCATTTTTTTGTTTCTTATCCCAACTGTCAAAACTACTTAACATTAAACAAAAAGAACTGTAGTGCAAACGTATGAAGAAACAGAAGATGAGAAAAAGAAAGAAAGAGAAGACACCAAGAGGTGCATAATCAAATTCAATTTGTGCTTTGTCCTTGCTTGAAATGGAATGATATAATCACTAAAGCGGGTGCCCAATTTTATACTTTTTCTCACAGAATCGGGGAATTTGAGGTAAAGTAAGTACCAAAGAAATTGGATAATGGTAAATTAATTGGAACTTAGAAGGGATAATATATATCCAATGAAGTATGGAAGTGTTTAGAGGATAAAGGAATAACTATGTGAGAAAATGCCACGTGAATGGAGGATTGGCACTTTGATACCGATTCAAAAGAACAACAAAGACGAACAAAATTGTGCAAGCAACAGAGAATTTGAAGTATGTCTCGCCAACAAAACTTCTAATTAGAGTAAGCAAAACCAGCACATGTATAACCAAAATTCAAGTCAAGGGAGTAAAGAGAGGAGAGAAAAAACAGTCCAAATACGTGCTTTTTAAGTTATCATTACCTTTCACACTCCTGAAATTTCTTGCATTCAGTGCAAAACCATCTCCTCCCAGACACTATCACTTCATGGCAGTGCATGCATGCATACTGAAGGTGAACTACGATGAAGTCTTCCTTGACAGGCAATATAGTTTGGCCCAGCTAATAGATATAGAGTGGAAAAAAGAAAATGAAGAAAGATCAATTAATAACAAAAACACATGAAGTATAAATGTAAATAACTTAAACTCTCACATATAAGAACATTGCAAAATTTTATTCAGTTATGTATAAAAGGATATATCCCATTCCATGAGCATGTTTCATCTGTGTAAATGTAGAGACACTAAAAGACAGAAATCCAAAGCTCGGTAGATTGTAGGTAAATAACATATTAGTCTGGGACTCACTAATAAAACATGTACTATAGAAGAAAATTTCACAGAACCAAATATATAGTAGAAGAAGTAGAATAATGATGACATTGGTAATTAAAATGCTATATTGAAATACTAAATGTGGGTATCTTTGTTTCAGTAACTAAGAAAGAAATTATAAACTGACATGAATCATATGCTATATACTTAAAATAAAACTGAGTGAATAAGTTTCCAATGAGTATGGAATTGTAAACTTTTATTTCAATACAGAAGATGTATAGAAACCATTAAATGAAATAGGGGTCTTTCACTTTGATGAACTAAGGTTTAAGTTAGTAACAGGGATAATTGGATGGTAAAAAATTAACACTTTGATTTTTACGGACCAACGGAAATACAAAGGGAGATTGCATTTCTTTTCTTGTTGAACAAAAAGGGAGGTTGCATTTAACCATTAAAATTACTTATCACACCTTTTCATAACCAGTTCAAAATCTAACACATATCAATTACTCATCACAAAATCTACCCTCCGAAAGGTATAAAAGGTGGGATAGGACGAAAGAGGGCAGGACACTGTATAAAACATGCGGAAGAATGGTTATGATATTCATGAAGAACAACTTATAGCTCTATGAATCCAAGAAGTTAACAACTTAATCCTTCAAAGTACTGCACTAATTCCCTTCATTATGAAAGCCTGAACTATGACTTCTCTAAGCCTTGCAAAACCAAATTACTATCGCGACTACATCTAATCTTAAAGAGTTATTCAGCATCTCATTAAATAACTAGCTCAAATTCCATGAGGGAGATTTTTCAAATAACATGCTGAAGCTATTTAAGCAGATTCAACTATGAAGAGCTACTTGAACAAATGGATCAAGTTGAAAGACAAGGAATACATACTTTCTGCATCACTAGAATGTCTTTGGCAGTGCCTTTTGAAGGATTTACATATCCCATGGCCTTTAAAGCTCTTTTTGTCACTTTCTTCAACTCCCTTTCATAGTCTCCTCCACTTTTTTGTTCAATGTTCCTGGCATGATCCATAGCAGCACCAGACCAACAGTTTCCATCAAAGTATGGCAAATGAGCAGTAGTTACCTTGAAGTCACATTTTTCACTAGGAACAAAGAAACGATCATATATGTTGCTTAAACCAACAACAATATTTTCATCAGCAGCCTTTCTTAGCATTGAATGATACCTACATATACTAAACAAACAATATAAATACTCAATGGTTACATTGCAGTGGTGATTTTCCAAAAAAAGCATAAAAACTATTTCCCATTAAACCCCGTCTAGTTTGGGTAGAGGTTGTTAGTGTGTGACCCATTAGGTCCAACATAGCCACTAACATAAATGGGCTCGGGCCCAACAAGGTAGAACAGCGACGCAAAAAGGTCAAGTGTCTGCTAGAACCACCACCAACATTTCCTTAATGTCATGATGATATAGCATTAAAGGTATTGGGCCTAATAATGGTTGTTAGCCCAAGATGAAGTTTGGAAGCCCACCTAAGAGGGAGAGGGCGCATGGTATTGTTAATGGGCTTGGATGGTCCAAGACATTACTAATTAATTTAATTAGTTAAATTAATTATCAAATATTTAAAATTTGAATTTTGAATTTGAAATTTGAATTTTGAAATTTGAATTTTGAATTTGAAATTTGAATTTTGAATTTTGAATTTTGAATTTTGAATTTTGAATTTGAATTTTGAAACTTGAAATTTGAATTTGAAATTTGAATTTGAATTTAAAATTTGAATTTGAATTTAAAATTTGAATTTGAATTTGAATTTAGAATTTAAATGTTTGAAAGTTTGAATTTAAATGTTTGAATTCGAATTTGAATTGGCTATGAAAAGTTGTTTCATAACAAAAAGATAACATGAGATCTTGTTGGAACAAATCCTTTGTATCAAGAGAAGATCTATGGAGATCTCCAAGGGCTAATTTGGGGCGCCATTTTGATGGGAGATGATTGTCATCTTGTCAAACCAATAAGCTCCAATCAGATTTGGTTGTTGAGAGAATCAGTGAGCTAGTTGGTTCAAACTTGAATATATATATATATATATATTGGTGGTCATATGATGACATTGGTTCAAATTACTAGATAAAGGCCTAGTCTTATGAGGATTCAAAGGGGAGGTTGTTGGGATTTTTGAATTGCAACAACTCCACCTATACTTTCATTATAAGTAAAGTAAAAATTCTGATTTGATACAATCTCCCTCTCTTGTGCGCCTATTGGTGATAAGGTTTTTCAAAAGAACCTAGCCAATTCTTCTATATACCATTCCCACTCTTGTGAAGTTTTTATGTTGGAGACTTCACTCTTCTAAACACATATACCTAGCCCCCTTCTTCACCTATAAAAAGCCTCTCTGTGGTGGTCAACACACTTGACGCGGGTGGTGTGGATCAACGTTAGAGGGTTTGAACCCTTCAAACCTAACACTGATCGTCTTGGAGTTTTGAATTCACAAACAAAGGTAACATCACATGCCATAAAGCATGATTCTTGATTGCATGTGTAATTCCGCATATGAAAAATTTTGTTTTTCCCTCTCACATGCTTCGGCCTTCAAGGCCATTTTACTTTCAGAGGTGAGGGCATTCTCTATACGCAGTCCTATCTTTGCATATTTACAAAGAAACTGTTCCAGGTTTGCCCACTTTTCCCAATGCAAGCATGCTATATATATATATATGCATTACATTAGCCATATCCCAAATAACGAAAGGGTATGTTATATAGAGTATTTTAATTTGCTTTTATATATATATATATATATATATATATATATAAAAGCAAATTAAAATACTCTATATAACATACCCTTTCGTTATTTGGGATATGGCTAATGTAATGCATACACAAGCACATAAAAATTCAACACACGTACATATGGAGAAAGATAGGCATACCAGTGCCGTAATTTATCATTCTTCGGAGTCTTTTGATTGCCAGGATGACGATATAGTAAATAATCTCCCCCTTTCGACGGAGGACAGGCCCATATGTAGCAAGTTGTGAAGCCTTGTTTCTTGCAAAAATCAAGGTATCCAATCTAATGATAGAAAAAGAAAAAGAAAAACGTAAATAGAACAAATAGAAGGATTAAGTGTTCATTTTTGTTGGTTTAATTGACATAGTAAATGAACCCAAGGTGAAATGTGGTCTAACAAAAACAAGGAGCAAGTAATTAGCAACAGGATTTATAAGCGACATACCAATAACTCATGGTAAACGAAGGTTCGAAGAGCTTCTCCACTCATAGCCGCTCTTTCAGGCCTAAAATACTTAATAGAATCAAGATATGAAATATATACACAACGCTGATTAGGGTAGCCACATTCTGAGCCAAACTCCTGGACATACATTCCAAAAAGGCATACATCCACTCCTTCAATCTGCTGAAACAAAAGAATAACCTGAAACAAAAGATGAGAGGTTTAGTTCTCCAGAAACAATTGGAAATACATTTAATCATCTATTAACCTCTGTACTTACTTTTGATCTATAAGGGAACTCAGTAGGATAACTTTCCTCCAAGAAGATGTCCTGAAACTCGTTCTTCACTTTCAATTGTTTGTCAACAGATAATACTACTCTAACAGTTAGATGTTCTGCTGCTAAAACCTGGCAAATTGGAGTAATACATGGCAAATCAGAAAATATATATTTTTATATATTTTTTTTTATAAAAGGATATAGGTAAAAGCAATTGATAAAGATCAATAACAATAACATCAGAAGAATAATATCTTGCATGTTTCTTAGTACTGGAGTTCTTATATGGAAGATTATTAGTTTACTATTACTTTCAATTTACTTTCTTGCATAAGAATAAGAAAACGTTAAAACATGTAAGTTTATGTGCATGCATGTTATTGCGGTAACATAGGTATTCAACCACTTCAATTGAACAGTATATATACTCCATCTTACCTCATCAAAATTTTCATTCCCTTCAACTTTTGCCCTATCTTCTCTCTCTTGCATGAGACGACTAAAAAGTCTTTTCTCAAGGTGCTCGCTGAGCATGGTGCTTGGCAAGTCCTTGGCACAAAAAATAGCAGTCTTTGGTATGGGTACATGCATTCCATTTTCAATTTCCTTTAAGCGGCATATAGGACATATGTACTCAGCTCCGCAATCCAACTCTCTTTTATTGTTAAAGAGTGCACATATTTGATGTTGCCATCTTTGGCATTTATCACATTGTACCCACTGTTTCCTTGCTAACAGTTATGCAAGTAGCGCGCAAGTATACGCGACAACAAGTAATATAGGGCGTATTTGAGACCCTAATATCGTTCCCACAAGGATCTTTGGCGTTTTTCAACTTGACTAAAATTTGCAATTGCTTAAACTGAATCTAATCTAAAAAGTGAGTAAAAATAAAAACAAAGAAATCACAAAACTAATTTCAAATACTACTGGTCAGTAACTTTATCTTTTTTTTAGGATTTTCAGAATTGATTTCTTGGGTTAAGTGAGAAAATAAAATAACAGAAAAAGAACGTAATTATCTGATGTAAAAGAATTTTTAGATAACCAAAACAACTTGTAAAATCAAAATGATGATTGAGAAATTAAAAATCAGAGGAACAAAGAAATGAGTTTGTGAAAATAGTTGAGAAATTAGGTTGAGCTTCGGTTTCCTTTCCCAACAACAATGAAATAAATGTTAATTACAGATTACTTAAAAATTAATTCCCAGTTAATGGATCACTTCTTGTTGATTTTAATCTCTTAAAATCATTTCATCCTCCACACTCATTTACATATCTCTGTGCTAAATGAAGCAAGGACTCATACATTACAAGTCCGAAATTACATGGTGGTTGTCCTCATCTCTGAGTGACAGCCCTTGAATGCTCTCACACTCAAGTCCATGTGCTTAACACATTTCCAAAATTAGTCACCTCTCAATGACTAATTCCTAACATTATATCTACCATCAGGCCTCAATGAAAGAATATTTAATTAAAATCACAGTATTAAACAACTGAGAATCAAAGTTTAACAAAAGTAATTAACAAGCATCCATTACTATGGTTCGGGTAACCTACACCCAAGCTTGAAAGGTTTAGCTCATACCCATAAGGGTTGAGCTACAAACAACAAATGAAATTAAAACGTACAGAAACTTAAAGTGTAGAAAACGTAAAACACAGCCTGAGTCCTATTCACCAGAATAGCCTCGATACTGTGCTGACAGGTTCTAATCCAAACAAAGTAGCATCTATTTACAGTACCAAAAAAATACAAAAATAAAAATAAAGAAAAATGGAGAAGAAGAGCTGTTATAGCAGAAGGTCCCTTGCTCCTTTTATATCAGCTCCACTGCATGCAATAGCTCGGAAACCCTTGGATCATCTTCCACGTGGCTCCTCTCAACCGTGCGATTTCTGTGCACAAATTGCTTCCACACTCCGAAAGTTGCTTCAGCCCCCACTCACAACAGATTCTAGCTCACCCACTCAGTTGAGGGTTTTGTTTGGCATTTTCGGTATAAAGAAAGAGTGGTTAGGGTTTGATTCTTCACTTAATGAACCGTGGGTGGGGTTAAAACTTGATGACTGAACCAAATTCACAACACGGTCTGACTTTGTGGTTCGATTTGTGGAAGGATTTCAAGTTAAATTGGTTTGAGGTGAGGGTTTGGCTGAGATGGGTTTGGTCGAATGGTGGGTGAGATGGGTTTCCTTTTCTCAGCTTTTGTTTCATGTTTCTGATTTTTTTTCTTTCTTCCAATTTCTTTCTTTGCTTTTCTTCACTTGGGATTGTCTGATTTGATTTGCTTGGCCCATTTCTTTTTCTCCCTTCTTTTGTTTTCTTCTTTTATTTCTTTTCTTTCTTTTTCACTTGCTTTTCTTTTCTTTCTGACTTCTCTGGTTTGAAGGTGGAAATAGGCCTGAAAAATAAAATTTTGCAGCCCATTAACACTTAATCAATAAATCTCAATTCAACATAAATTTGGGGTTTTTAATAACACAAAAAGTATTCTTTTCTTTCCATTTGCACATTAAACCATATGTTTCAAGTCTTATTTCATAGACTTATCACACCCCCAAACTTACATTGTTGCTTGTCCTCAAGTAACAAAGAAAATCAGCAAATGAACTTATCATAATAACCACCATCCATAACCAGAAAAATTCTATTACATCACTCATTGCTACTCAGAATCCATAACAGTTTAAAACACTTCCTAACAACAGTTCAATGTTCAACTTTTCAAAACTTTCAGTGAATCATATTAACACAAAGAGCAGAGAACAATATTGTGTACTTAGTTCAGCAATTAATCCATCACAAACTAGACAGCTTGGTGATCCTTTTATTCCATAAAAATACTCAGCAAACAGTGTGTGAAATTTATAACACCTCACAGTTTTAAATCAAGTAATTAAAATATTAAGTGAGCAATCAAGTGATGGATTAGTGAAAATCCTAAAGATTAGGCCAAAATACAAAGAAAGGGCAAAACGGTAATTAGCAAACACGCAACCCTAGGAAGATAAAAATTGAGTAGAAGGTCTCAGATGGTAAAAATAACCCTGGAAATGGGTTCAGAACGAAAAATTGAGTGGATAGGCAAGTTTCAGAAAAATCAGTGAATAGTAATTTTCGCGGGTAAAAATACCGCGTTACGATTGCACCGTAAAACGTGTCAGTTGAATTTTGAGCTCTAGGTTTCAAATATGAGTTACAAATGGTCTATTGAGTTAGGAAATGTGATTGTTGATAAAATTTGATGAAAGTAAGTCATTTTAGGGAAGCGTGCCAACGGCACGCGCAATAGCTTAAAACGGTGTTTTCTCCGAACGACCGGAAAACTCCGGATTCATCTGATCAAGTATAATTAAAGGGCAATGGTTAATGTTAAAAATTAGAGTTTCCAAATAAGTCTTGAATTTACGGACGTTTAGTGAAAGTTTAGACGCGTTTTAAATCGCGTGAGGTGGCGTGGGACCCACCCCACTTGAAAGTCACTTAAACACCTCATCCTATCACTATTCATCATCTTCCCACTCCTCTCTCTCTCTCTCTCCCTCCAGCCGCACAAACAGCCCCCTCCCCCTTCATTTTTGTGCAAATCTTTCTTTGATCACAACACACACAAAACTCAACCAAAATCAACAAACTTTGACTTGAATTCCATAGGAAATCACCTTCTAAAGCCATTGGTGGCCTTGTTTAACCTTGAAAGTGAGTGGATTTTGAGATCCTCCCCATTTTAGGCCGCGGTTTGCTTGGGAAAAAGAGTGACCGTGGTGTTTTCAAATGCTCCAATGAGGGAGTATTCTTAGGAGGAGTCATTTGCCTTGCTTTTGGGTGAGTTATTTCAACACTTCAATGGTTGATTTGTGATTTATGTTTATGAACCCTAAAGAGGGATTTTATGATGTGTTGTGTTAGAGAGCTCAAATGGAAAATGTCCATTAGATGATAATGCCTTAGAATGATGTATTAATGCTAGAAATGCAATAAAAATTTTAGGTGAAATGTGATGATTTTAACTTAGTGAATTTGAGATCATGATTTTGGGACTTTGGAATTTTGTGTTGAGGCATTGTTTGATGAATTGTGGTATGATTATATGATGATATAATGTGGTTGTGTGAGATGTGGAGTGAGTAAAAGTGAATGGAAATCCTAGAATTGTCATAGGTTGCAACTTGGCCTTTGAAGGGAAATTGTTGAATTGATGTTGTTGGAAATTGTTTGAGCGATGAATTATGTGTTGAGAAGGTAATTAGATGGGTTGTGTGGTGATTGGTAAGTGTTAGAATCAATGGAAAAATAATAAGTGGCTTAGTTGGCATAAAGAACCTAGAGTGAAATATTTCGCAAAACGATGCGTAAATGTCGTAAAACGGAAAAACGACGATTGAACTAGCCTCTGAGCAACCCAAGGATGGGTACTAAAATGAGAAAGAAAATTTAGAAAAATAAATCCCCAAATAACACATAGATGGCCGAACCTTCAAGGAGGAAGGGAGGATTTTGCGGTTTTCGCGTTCTGATGTAATTCGACGTGAAAATGATGAACCGGCACTTGAATTGGCCTCTTGACAACCTAATGAGGCGTAACAAAATGAGAAAGAAAATTTAGAAAAATAAATCTCAAATTAACACTAGTTAGGCCGAACCTTCAAGGAGGAAGTGGAGGATTTTGTGAATTTTGCGTTTTGATGCTATTTGACGCGTACTGATGGATGTACGTGATTGTATAGGTTGCTGTACGTTGACTTGAATCCCGAAACTTGAATCTGGGAGTTGCCCTTGGTCCTGGACCAAGTGGATTGAGGTATGTAATTGGTTCAATGCATGTGTAATTGTAAATTATCATGTATTGTTTGAATTATAAGAGATTGGGAATGTCCTCTGTGTAGGCATTTTGTTGTGTACCAAGTTGAGGGATAAGCTGCTGCGGAGCTTGTGAAAACAATACTTAAGGTAACCTCTTGGTACTGGGGCTTATTCCCCTTTTCTGTTCCACCTTGCCAGTTGATGGCAACGGTAGGAAGTGTGTATGAGTAGTATAGAACACATGAGCATGCATGCATTATTACAATGGGTACTTATGTACCGAGTCTCTGGCCAGTAGACAGTTTTTAGCCTTCGGGCAGTTTCGGACTTCCGCTGGATAGGTCTCCGAGAGGGAGTTCCAGTTGACCGTGAGTCATAGTGTGCGATCCAGATAGGAGCACACTAGGAATGTCTCAGGTGTTATGGATGGAATGGGTACCTTGGTGGTAGTGATCTGATCACACCTTGGATTATACCCGATGGAATGGGTACCGGGGTGGTAGTGATTTGATCACACCTTGGGTGGACCCGATGGAATGGGTACCAGGGTGGTAGTGATTTGATCACACCTCGGGTGGACCCATAGGCTTATATATGCCAGGGCGTGCGTGGTATTGGTAGCTACCATCCCACAGCGTCGTATTTTGTATTCTGATATTTCCCCAGTTCTCTAAATCCCTTGCTATATCCCGTTTTCAAAGTGGTTGTTTTATTCTATTGATATGCATCGAAGTGAACCATTGGGTGGAGTTTTCTCGAGAACCTCTTGGTTACTGAGATATATTCGTATATCTCACCCCGTCTCGGGGCATTTATTTCAGGAGGTAGCAGTGGAGCCGGAGCAGCGGGCAAGAGGCCCGCAGAGTGAGCAGTGGAGTGCTTCACATTTTGCATTTTGTTGGCCGTGTGGTCTAGGCTAGACTTAGGGCATGAACATCTCATATGTATGTGGTATGAGCTTCATTAGCATATTTGCTCATGCCATTTTGCCTAAGTCTAGTAGTTATGTATTTGGTTATGTTGTCATTTGTATTTAAGTTGTAATATTGGAAGAATGTAAGTTAAAGTTTAAGTTTCAAGTTGTAAGTTGTAAAGCAATATTGTAATCATATTTGATGCATGTCTATTTATGATGGAAGGGCCTTAGGCCTATTTTAGGGTATGATTACATGTATGATGAAAATATGCATGAAAAAGGTGTTAGTGATTGCAACTACTTAAGGATGATTAATGTGAACTATATGCCTAATAACTATAAACTGGATTGGGTTGTAAGTGCCCCAAGGCGTTGTTGGTCCTTGTGTGTGTCACCCATTGGATTATTACTGTATTATCATGTGATTATTAGGTACATTTGAGGCTTAAATGATCTTTTACAAATTTGGGATTATTGGAAAAACAAAGGAAACTCTGGCGAATTTTTTGTAGAATTGGCAGATTTTAGGCGAACTTCGGGAGAGCATATCTCCCTCCATAGAGGTCCAATAGGGACGTGCCATACGCCATTTTGAAGGTTGAGATGTCCTCTACCTTGTGTCAAAATTTGGGAAAAATCAGGGTTGGTCTTCGACCTGAAAAAAATGGAGAAACGCGGACTGCTCATGTGCCACTGCATCTGAGACAGTTCTGGACCTGACTTGGGAAATTAATTCCTGCTTCGTTTCTCAGTCAAATTAAGCGTGTGATATATCAAAATGAAGTTTGAGATGTCTAGTTTGTAGGATAAAAATTTTAGAGCAAATGGATGAGTGGATTGAGTTCAGTAATTCGAGTAATGTGAGTGGTTTGGAGCTGTTTTTGGGGTTGGTTGGCTATTTGCTTATCCAACTTCAAACGTCGATAACCGGAGCAAATGAGCTCCGAATTGAGCGTGTGATAGCTTGTTGAAAAGGAAATTAAGTAAGACAAAGATATAATCTGAAAAGGAGGTATGGTTGTGAGCGGTGTGTTCGCAGAAAATTGATGAGTGAACCATATTCAAGTAAGTAAAAACGTAAATGTTGTAATTGGCCAAGTGGGTTCATGGGAACCCCTTAGTAACTAATAATAAGTAAAGTAAGCTATAAAAATAGTTTAAATAAGTCTTCTGCAAGAGTTTACGGTTACGGTCACAGCTTTTAATTATTACGCTTTTTATGTTTTAAATGCTCGCGTAATAATCGGAAAAAGTTTATTCGCATTTTTATAAATGAATTGCTGTGATTGTAACTGCGCTTAATATCATAATTAATGTTAACAATACCGGTGTACAACGGGCTGTTACAAAATTCAAATGCATGGGTGCCTTACTGACTGTTGAATAATGACAAAAGAGATCTTTGAAAATTCGTTTCTTAACACAGCATGCAGAATTTTTCAAAAGGCAACAGAGATGGCAACTTTTCACAGTCTCACTTAATCACAGAAATATTCAATCAATGCTCAAGGGTCCTGTTTCTCTCAATCTTACCCTGGGAAAAGATATAACATAGGCTTGCTAAGATGCTCTTGTCTCCTAAATGGCACACAGACGTAAACTTAATCAAAGGGACTTGAATTGGTTGTAACTTGGCTAAGGTGAGGGTAGACTATTTGTGGGGAATTGGCTAACTTGATTACAATGGAAAAGAAACACAATCTTGAAGCTTAATCAATCAATTCAGTGGCTGCTATTTTGACTGCTATTTTCCTTTTTTTGACAACTTTTTCAAGGGCAAAAACCTTTTTACATCAATTTTCTCTTAAACCCTCCAAGTATTGCCCCAAATATTTTTCTCTTTTTTTTTTCTTTTTATCTTATGAGACCAACTTTTCATTTATTAGCAGTTCTTGCTTTCACTTCTTATTACAGCCAACAATACCTTGCTTCTTTTTCCAATTCCATCATAACTAAGAGGTGTGGTAGATTGTGGGATAGGGTAAGATGTGGGTATGAGAAGAAAAAGGTTAAAGGCTCAACATGGGGTTTTCAATGGATGATGATTTAAGGATGGCTTTTTGGTTTGGAAGTGGTTTAAACAACAACAAAAAAATATGCCCTCGTCATTTTAAACTTAAGCCAGTGTTACACTTCATCAACTGAGCATCAGAACAAGTTATGCCTCACTACCCCAGTGTAAACCTCTCAACAAAAATTATTTAGGTGTGTAGGCTCAATATTTAACAGTGTTGGTCAAGTCACCATCTCACATGCCTATTGTTAAAACTCACACTTTGCATTAATCAATTAATCTCTCACTGCCATTACCCTTCAGTCATTAATACACTCATGTCACTCTCCATTTACACCACTGCCCTGAGTTCCTTTCTTTCTTCAAAATTTCCAGCTACCTACTTGTGACCCAGATCACTCACTACTAAACACCATACATCCCTCAATTCACCCTCATACTCAAACTTCAAGTCTGCAAAACAGCAAACAACAAAGACAAAAACTAACAACATGGCAAATAATAAACTCAACAAAACAGCAAAAATCACAACTATTCACCAGGCATCTAAACAGCAAATTTAAAACAAGCAGAATTCATGAATTCACTCCCTCAAACTCAGAGGAAACAGTGTCCTCACTGTTGCAGAAACAGGCTACCAAGAAAAATTAACAAAATTAGGAACAAGTAACTTGGGGCCAGAAGAGGTTCTAGCCCTATTCAGCAGTCTTCCTTTTTTCCTTGATGTAGATGGAGTGGATCCCTTTTTGCAACTTAAGGTACCAGTGTTGCATATGGAAGAGGAGCACTTGATTGCTGAGCTTGTGGTTCTAATTTTGCTTCAAAATCAAGAAGCTCTCCATTTGAAAGGTGTTGTCCAATTTCCCCCAAACTCAGATTTCACTCATTGCAGTATGTATCAGCTGACTCACTCACTTGGCACCTGTAAAACCATATCAATGTATTAAATTTTCAGTTAAACTCAATTCTTTTTTTTTTTAAAGCTATTTTGCGTACTATTTAAACTAATTTTTTTTTAGACAACATGCAGCAAACATGCAAATAAAGAAGTCACCTAAAACACACAACAACAACAAAAATCTAAAAATAAATAAATCTAACATGCTTAGTTTATAGTCTTTAGCTAAACTTTTTGCTTCATTTTCCTGATCAGTTTGAATCAGGCTCTCTTGGGAAAATAGGCACCTTCTCCTACCATCTCCCCAATAGTGTTTGACGTCTTTTTCATCAAGCTTGATTTTTCCACCTTCTTGCTCAACCAAAATTTCCATAGCTTCATGCAAAAATACTTTATAAACCTGAGGATTTTAGCTTTCCCATAATGAAAATGGCTTGCTTGATCTCCAGAGAAGTAGGAAGAGCCTCTAGGTTCTCAAGGCCACGATCAATGGTAGGAAAACCACCCCAAATAGGGAATTCCTCAACACTTTCATCACTTTCCACAAAAAAATTTCTCAAAATAGGCCTCAACACATTCTTCAATTTGAACGGGATCATCCATCCAGGTGCTATGCTCATCTTTAATAGTGAGAATCTTGTTCCTACGGTGCTCTGCCATTGCTATTGAGTGGAAATACCTGGTGTTTTTATCACCAATTTCCAACCAGTTGCACTTAGCACGCTGGAACCTCGTACTTCTTCCCGAATGAGAATCACTTCAAGATCCTTCCAAAGAGACTTCTGCAAACGTTCCAAACCCTCATCTGCGTGAATAGAAAGACGAAGGTCAATCCCTCTCAATCTAGCTTGGAGCTTGTTTTTCTGTCTGTGGGTGGCTTTAAAGGTATGTTCATGCCAATGGGAGGCATCAGCTTGGAACTGCTCCGAACTTAAAAACCAGTTGTGGTCATTACTCCAACAATTACTCACAATGCTACCAAACTCTCATCAGAGAGTCGAGCAGCCAGGAATTTCAAGTTCCTAGTTCCATGAAAGCGAGCTCTGGGACCTTCATTAACCACAAGAACTGGTCTGTGATCAGAGCTATAATATGGGAGATTTAAAATAGAATGATCTGGCCATTGTATGCTCCAAGCCTCAGTTACACAAGCATGGTCCAATCATTCCTGTATCCCAGCCTTTTTCCACTTGAAAGAAGGGCTTTTGCACCCCAAATCTTGAAGATTACAGGAGGAAAGGCAATCCCTAAACTCCTGAAACGCTCCCCAACAAAAGGCTTTTCCCCCTAGTTTCTCATTAAGAGCCAGAAGGGAGTTGAAATCACCCATAACGTACTATCCACAAGGAAGAACCATTGACGCCCAAGTCCAAGAGTTCTTGCCATAAGATACGTATTTCATATCTACGCGGGCTGGCATAAACAACAGTGATAAATTCCACTCTGGATTGGTTATTGTAGTTGATTTTAGCATGGATGAATTCATCGTGGGATTTTAGAATTTGAAATGAAAAATCCACCTCAACTCAGCGATCAACCAAATACCCCCAGAAAATTCACCTTATTGAATCCAAATTTAGAGATAAGCCTATACGCTTTATCCCCACTAATTTTTGTCTCCAAAATAGCCAAAAAGGCTGATATTAAAACTTAATTTAAGGTCACGAATAAGTGCCAAGTTGATCATGGAAAACCTGACAAAAAAAGGGAAGGCTACATTAAGTTTTGATCCAGTATGATATTTTCCTGAGAATTGTCCATGTCAACTTTGCAAGAACTATGGTTAACAGGGGCATTAGCAGTAATCCTTCCTTCACCTGGTTTTCATCCTCCATGAGACTATATTGGTCTTGCTTATGACCGTATCTACCACAAGAAAAACAAATCATATGCAAACCCTCATAACCAATTTGAAACACCTCTTCCCCAAGTTTGAAGGAAGGGACCAAGCTCAATACAAATCCTAGCAAACCTGGATTTATCAATTACTTCACCATTCCCTTCTTCGTTCCTCCTAACATACCTCTTATCCACTTTCAGCATTCTCCCTAGGAGGTTTCCAATCCGCCACAGATGATAAGACGAATAGAACTCCATGGGAAGTCCTCCAATGTGAGTCCATACAACGAGCTTCTTAGTAGAATCACTGCAAGGATTGAAGAGTGGCCTCCATCTTTGCACTACCAAATAATGGTAAAAAATAATCCACAGTCCTTCTTAAAGGACGTGACTGTAGTCTCTATCATCCGAAAACTTAATTAGGAGGATATGGCCATTGTCCAGAATAAATTGCTCATAATTAAGTGCCAACCTAGCTCCAATTATTATGCGGCCGTGCCATGAGACGTAAGTGATTAAAGAATAAAGCAAGGGTAAGTGATAAAATATCAAACAATGAGAGGATTTTTGAATTTTCCCATACAACAATTAAAAAAAACAAAAAAAAACAAAAACTTGATGTGAGAAATAATATCAAACTCAACAAGCTAATGGGGGTATAACATTATTGCAAATAAGCGGTGTTATGTTCAACATCCACTAGAATTTGTTGCCCAAGAAAGAAGTTTTAATGCCTCGTTGTAGAAAAAAATTAGAATTGAGATGATCATATATATAATAATAGGATAATCATCTCAATTCTAATTATTTTTTTCTACAACGAGGCATTAAATTAGGATTAGATAATGTATAATATTTTACACTTTTGCGATGTAATTAGGATTAGATATGTATCAAAAGAAAATTAGGATTAGATAATGTAAAGTTCTTAATTTTTTTGAAATGTTAATATATTTGTTAATGGATGCTTTATTTCTATTATTTATTTTTAAATATTTATTTTTAATTTTTTAAAAAATAAATAAATAGAGGAAATTAAAATAAAAAATTAAATTATTAAGACAATATTAGCTTTTCCTTGAATAACTATAAACATGTATAAAAATAGGGAAATCATTCTCTTATTTTATATGAAAAAGTTATCTCATGTTCTTCTTATATCGAAAATTGTGCCACCATTTTTTTTAATGGATGTGAATCCTACCACATTATGTGTCTATAGTAGAAAATATCTATTTCTAATAATATAAGAAAATAGAATCCCACAAAAAAAATGTATTCAAATACAACAAACGACAAATATAAAATACACATATAAATGACAAATATAAAAGACACATGCAAATGATGTTGAACAAAACATCCTTTATTTCCACTGCTCTACCCCATTAGTTTGTTTAGTTTTTTACATTGTTCCCAATATCAAGTTTTTTTATTTGTTTGAAAAAGTTCAAAAATTTCCTTGTGGTTTAATTTTTTATTATAGTTACTCCCTTCCTTGTGTTTTCTTAATCACTTACCTCTTTATGTTTTTTTTATTATTTATAAGCGAGAAATGGATAGATTAACCCAATTTTTAATGGTGTTAATAGTGGTTTGAATAGAAAAAACTACATGGGAGATAAGTGGTAGAAAAAAAAGTATAGGGGTAAATGATTATGAAACAAATCGTATGGGAGTTTTTAAACTTTTACCTAAAGTAAAAGATTGTCATGTAATTAAAAATTGGTGGGAACTATTTACTTGGGGGGGGGATTGGTGGGAACTCTAGAGAGATTAATGAAGAGACTCAGTCTACCAAAAATAAAAATGAAGAGACTCAAACCCAGTATCAAATTAATTGAGCTCGTTAAAGTTTCAGATACCGGTTGTTTTGAAACTTCTAGTTAACTATCAACTTATAACTATTTTTGGTTGTTAGTTGTTTGATGACTCTCTTATTTTAATATTTATGAATTAATATGTTAAATTTATTATCGGATTCTTTGTGTTATATATCAGCTTTTTTATGTAAGACAATGAAAGGACAGAGGTTGCTAATATTTTTTTGGGTTGATGACAATTTTGTAACATAAAAGCTATTTTTTTCCCGTATTTATACTATTTAAACCATCAAGCATACGATAATTTTTTTATGTTGTGTTATTATTTTATTTTAACAAATCGAAAGGATTTGTGGTGGCCAACCACAAACACTAACATTTTTAAATTTCAATATATACCAACCACTAACATTTCGTATAAACTAAGCCAACCGACAAAAATGATGACGCACACGTTTTGTTTTAGTATTGTTTTGTTTTTTAATATTATTTCATGATTTATCGATTACTTGATTAATCAAATTTAAATTGGGTAGGATTATAAAGATGATAAAACTCTTTGAGACCATTTGATGGTTATCCATCTATTGTCCATTATTTTATAAACCAACAGAATATTATAAGCTTATCTTGTGACTCATTTTACCTTATTCGCATAGGGATAACTTTTTTAAGGAGGAATTTGGGTTAAGAATGAATAATCTTTTAAGTTTTTAACACATTTACATACAAAAATTGGATTCAAAATCATTGAACAACCTGAAACAACTTCGTACCGATTAATCCGTGCTTAATGGAAAATGACCATGCATTTATATGATTTTCACGGTAATTTACACAATTCACGTACAATTCTTTTTGGTAGAATTTATGTTTGATTATATTTCTTATTTGAATTGATATGAAGTTGCGCATCAGTTTATAATTTGCTTAAAGGAGGCCAGATATTAAATAATTCTTAATGTTTGTACTAAAAAAATTAGGGTGAAATATTTGTCCTTTTAAAGGATATAATGTTTAGTCATTTTAAATCATAACTGTTGATTTTCGTCAATTAACGGTTATAATTTATAGGATCAAACTTATCAATTAATTAATAATAAGTTTAACCTAATAAATTTGACCCAATAAATTATAACCGTTGATCGACAAAATCAACGATTAGAATATAATAACACAATATTATATCCCTTAAAAGAATAAATATTTTTAGGAAAAAATTATCATCAAACACATAGATTAAGTGAAGGGGGTTATTTATTTCATCTTAATCAATGAATCTTGATTTCGAGTTTTGTAATCTTACCTGACTCAAAATTAATTAGTCTGGTAATTAATGAATTGGTGGAGAAATAAAATAAAATAAAAAGTTTTATTGATGTTATATAATACCTTTTCATATCCATTTTATTGTTGGAATTTTTTTTAAGTTAGTTAACCGAAATTTGAGGTTTCATATCATAAATGAATGAGAAAGTCTGATATAATTATAATGACATTTATTACAACTTTTAAATCTGATATTTTATATAAAACACTGTTCATTATAATTGAATAGTCCTCTTTTATAATGATTATTGAAGAAGAGTCAAGCATCAACCACCTCTTTGTAAATTACTTTTTCCAACAAAGTTCATGTGTGATGGTGACACCTCTCCTTAACTTGTGCATCCATGGAACATGCAGGAGGAACAACCAACAATAATAATAATAGGAGTGACATAGACATTGGGACACAACATTAGAAAATGGAGTCTTAAATGGAGTTGATGTGAAATGTGAGGCCGAATTTCTTTCAGAATATCCTGGACCCTTGAAACTCTTTTCAAAACCATCTCATGGACAAATTAGGGAAAGTCATTGACAAATGCTACAACATTGAGTTTTTCTATTGAAAATATCCTTAAAAACTGCCATTAATATTTTAAGAGCATAACAAACATTAATTGATTTTTAATTGATTTTTTTTAAAAGAATTAAGGTGAATTTAGAATTTGAATCTCTCTTACAAGTAAAATTTAGTGACGGTTGAGGTGGGGGCAAATATTTATAAATTAAAGAAGTTATTTTTCATTTTCAAACCCGCAACTTTTTTGTCCCGGTAAGTAGTTTTACTATTTCTCCAGACTTGCTCGAATATAAAGGTACATTTAATTAATGAATGATTTTTTTAAATAAAAGTAAATTGTTTTGAAATTTTAATGCATTAAATACTTAATTTTTTTAATTTAAATTTCCTTATCTATTGACACACTTGTTAGCAAGATTCTTAGAATTATTCTACAGCAAATATATATTTTTTTTTTTGGGGGTAACTACAGCAAATATTTTTTAGTTGTGAAGGAATTGACCATATTTGAAGTACAAGGTTATTAGCAACTTTATACATAGTGCGTGCCTCGAAATAGATGGAATCTTCATGTAGATGACAATCACAAGAATGACAGAAAATTGACCTTATGGCAACCGAAAAAAAAAAAAAAAAAATCAAAGAAAAGGAGCATGGCCTTGCTCAAGTGGGAATTCTCAAATCTTACTTGGGAAAATTATAATCTATCTGGATTAAAAATATGAGAAATAAAAATATAAGGTTCTAGGAAATTTGTTAGATTATGTTATAGAGATAGATATTATGGGACCCACACTTATTATTTTTTGAAAACAAGTGTGGGTTGGTGGTAGCTCAGTTGGCGCATGGGAGCTGAGCAGGTGGGGTGAGGGCATGTGTTCGAATCTCTCCAGTACCACCTTTGGGAGGGGTTTAAAGCCTTAATCCTGGACCCGCCCCGAATCGGACTAATCGCGAAGCGATGAACCGATGGAATATTTCCAAAAAAAAAAAACAAGTGTGGGTCCTATAATCTCTATCTCTATAACATAACCTAATAATTTTCCTACAATATTATCTTTCTTTCTCTCTCTCTCTCTCTCTCTATATATATATATATATATATATATATATATATATATATATAGGGGAAAGTACTTCTTATGTGACTGCAAAAGGGAAAATTTGCAGCAACACAGGATACGCGTCCGAATCCTGGATTTTTTTTGTTTTTTTTGTTTTGATAGGATCCGCACGTGTATCCTAGGATCCGCACGTGTATCCTAGTGTTAAAAATTTGCTGCAACTTTTCTCATCAGCAGCAACATGAGAACCGACGGACCCATATATATATATATGGGTTTATTGTTTATTATGTCACTGGATGGTCAAGTCAGTATTACACTACGTCGTTTTGTTTATTTATTTCTTTATATTTATTGATTCACCTTTATATATATATATATATATATATATATATATATATATATATATGGAAATAATCATTTTAAATTATTGTAAATTACTCTTAATCTTAATCAGTATCTCATTTATACCTGAGGACTCAAAATTAATGAATAAAAACTGTTCAATACAAATAGAATAACAGTAAGACTGGTTTTAAGTCTTATTATTGATGCTATCATGTATGAACTGATAAGAATATTCTAAGTCTTGTGTATAGTTAAAAATAAAAAGGAAAATTGCCTTATGACTATGGCTTCAAATCACTCTAGGCATTGCCATTCTCTTTCTCCAGGCTTCAGGCACCTCAAGTAGCAATGGAAGATTTAAACAGTTGGTTATCCTTCTACATGAATGAGAGTGCTAACCATGAACATGCCATTCGAAGATTTTGCCCTGCAAGAATGGAGCAAGACCAAAGAGAAGAGTGCCAAGATCAAGAAGCAGTAATTAATGAAATTGAGTTATGTTCTTCTGATTCTACCAGCACTCCTTGTTTGGCTTCTTCAGAGGTTGATGATTTTGTTGACAGCTTCATCAACATGGATCAGTACAAGTATGAAAATGAAGATCAAGAGTCCCTAGAGAAGCATCAAAGTTTTGATCACTTTGTGGTGAATGATGAAGATGGGATTGATACATTCTCTATGGTGAATGATGCCTATGGACATGTTCCAATCAACATGGAGGATAAAGAGCTAGAAATGAGTGGCTCCTTTGGTGCTATACCTGATCTTGTGCATAGTGTGGAAGAGGCTGACCTTGGCATGGACCAAGGGTTAGATTTGGTTCACATGCTACTGGCTTGTGCTGAGGCTGTGGCATGTAGAGACACCCAAAGGGCACACTTGCTGCTTAACGAAATTTGGGCTTTGGCTAGTCCTTGTGGTGATTCATTGCAGAGAGTCTCCTATTGCTTTGCCACAGGATTGAAGTGTAGGTTGTCACTTTTTCCTCATAATGTCTTCGCAAATGATACACACACAATTAGTGTTATGGATGTCCCTTTGATCACTAGGGAACAAAAGTTGGAAGCTTTTCATGTCCTTTGCCAAACTACTCCTTATCTTGCTTTTGGTTTCATGGCTGCAAATGAAGCTATATTGCAATCATCACATGGAAAAAGCTCCATACACATAATTGATCTAGGAATGGAACATATCCTTCAGTGGCCTTCCTTGTTAAGGGGACTTGTTTCAAGACCTGAGGGGCCTCCAAAGCTCCGGATCACAGGGTTAATCAGCAGTGAAGATGACACAAAACTTAAAACTAGCATGAATGTTCTTGTGGAGGAAGCAAGCTCATTAGGAATACCACTTGAAATTGTTGTAATATCAGAACCTGCAATTCCAACACTTCTTACTAAGGAGAAACTGAACTTGAGAGAAGGAGAAGCTTTATTTGTTAATAGTATCTTGCATTTGCACAAATATGTCAAAGAAAGTAGAGGGTGTTTGAAGGCAATTCTACAATCAATAAAGAAGCTAGGTCCAGTTGCTCTTACAGTGGTAGAGCAAGACACAAACCATAATGGACCCTTCTTCCTTGGGAGGTTTTTGGAATCACTACAATATTACTCTGCCATTTTTGATTCTCTTGAGGAAAGTATGCCTAGAAATAGCCAAAATAGGATGAAAATAGAGTGTGTACACTTCGCTGAAGAAATTCGCAATATTGTTGCTTATGAGGGCTCTGATAGGATGGAAAGACATGAAAGGTTAGACAAATGGAGAAGGAAACTAGGCCAAGCAGGATTTCAGGTAATGCCACTGAAATGCACAAGTAAAGCTAGAAAGATGCTTTCTGTTTATGATTGTAAAGGATATACATTGACCAGTGAGAAGGGTTGCCTTCAACTTGGGTGGAAAGGAAGGCCAATAATGATGGCTTCTGCATGGAAAGTGGTAAGATTGTAATGCCATCATAAATATTCAGGGAGAACAGTTACTTATTCATGCACTTATTCATTTCCAATAATTTGTTTCTTTAACATATAAATCAAGAAAGTCAATCATATACCACCTGGTCATTTGTATATTACCAAATTGTATATATAGTTTTTTTTTAAATCTGAGTTAACTATATATGATTGTACTTCTTGACCATATAATTCGGTCCTACAATTTGTATGGTAATGTTTAGGATATGGATTGTCCACAGTGTTCTTAAACCATACAATAAAAGCAAGGAAAATAGTCTACAGCTTTTCTATACTGAGTTGTCAAGAAAGATGTAATAGCACATACGCTTTTCTATACTCTATGAGTTGAATTCTGATGAAAAATTTGTTTTTGGTTTCTCCGTTTAATATGTTGACTAAAAAGACATGCAATCAGGCATCATTGATAAATCATTTGTTTTTCCTGATAAAAGAAGTGCAAATGATAGTGGCAACAAAGGGAGAAAAGCAGAGAAACTGAAGTCAACACTTCCCTCCACCTCCCCCCCCCCCCCCCCCCCCCCCCCCCCCCAAAAAAAAAAAAAAAAAAACAATTTTTGCAAGTTATAACAATATTTTCGATTTGTTTGAAAATCACGTTAAATCAGAATGAGTTTACTACAATTGAATAATTGATAACGTCATCCCTTTTTTGAATGAAAGTACCTTTTCATTTTGGTTGATTTGCATCAACTTGAGAAGTTTGTGATAATTTGAGTTAAACATAACTTGTTTAATACTTTTGCTTTGAAAGTGCGGGAGAAAGAAAGACGCAATAGCAATAACACTTTGTCATATGCAGCTTACAGCTTTTACTTGATCATGAAACACCAGCTGTAGGTTAAGGGTTAGTTGAATCTTCCCTTAGTAAATTTCACTTTTTCCACTCTTTTGGTGCTTAAGGTTATAAGGAAAAGGATGTCCCATAATTAGGGTTGAAACAAAAGAACAAGACCAAAATCAGCTCTATTACAAGTTTTGTTTTTGTGTTTTAAAATTTTTGCTCTCTAGGTGGTGATATCTAAACTACCTATCCTGAGAAACTAAAAGGAGGAAACCAGCAGTACAAGATTCACGGTGGAAATAGGATTACAAGCCCAAATGTTAACATACAATATGATTTATATGGTTTCACACTCATTGATATATTTACAATCAGCAAAACAAACACCTGGTGTAGTGACCATAAAATTACAACACAAACAACTATTGCTGGTCCTCATATATTTGTATTATATAGCATTTTTGGAACACAATTGAATGAATGCATATATGGGCATCAGATCAAATCTGTTGATTATCATTTAGATGCCTTGGGGCCCTGTCCTTTGGTCTGACTAGCAGCTGCAGACATTACACGTAAGCGGCGAGCAATTTCTGTGAAGGATGGCCTGACCGCAGGATTAGGTGCCCAACACTGCTCCATTAGTGTTTTCCACTCAAGATCACAATAACTAGGGATTGTAGGTCTTAGTGTGTTATTCACAATACCTCCTGCATGCAGTGCGGAAGAGAGTGAGGTAAAAAAAAGAATTGGGAGTGGGTGGAGCGAGGACAGAATTACTGCTTTAATGAACTTTGTGCATGAACAAAATATGACAGAAGAGCAAATATGGAATGAGTGTGAGAAAGTAGATCATGTTAAAAGAGGTTAAACAAATTATTACAGGAAAAGAATTAGTAAATGCAAAAGAGATTTGATCTGTTAGTGGCTGTTATCCACCTTGGCCTTCAGAAGTTAACCATTTGATTTGTTTTATAATAGGTAAATTCATACAATGTACCCGGATTATTATTAAGAGATTTTAATATAAGTTCTATCAATGCAATGTAAGTACTATGATGCAAACTAGTGCCTAAGAAAGGTACAAGACTGATTGAGTCCAAGCAACTGTGAACAAGGTTTCCGAACCAACCTATTATCGCACCATAGTGCATATTAGCATATGGCTCTTCACCAGTAAGAATCTCCCACAACACAATGCCAAAGGAGAACACATCAACCTACGATTTGACAAAAATAGAATTAGTAATTAATGCTTCCCTCAAACAATAAAGATAAGGAGAGACAGTAAAGGACAATAATTAACAAATAGCATATGTAAACTTGAGTTTTTTTTTTCGATGTTGAATACGTGACAGATTGAAACTCAAGGAAAGCCGAAGTCATAAAAAGTTAGGCTGGTGCCAGTTGAGCTACAAGCTTATTGGTGACAATTTCAATATCTAATAGAAGGAAAACAGGAATCAACTTAATGGCTATTTTCTTATTCATTGTAACTGATAGTGATTATAAATTTCCACTGACGAGGTGAAATTTTACCTTCTCTGAAACCTTATTGCTGCTACCATTCAGTAGTTCTGGTGCCATCCAAGGTAGAGTTCCTCGTACACCTCCAGATACCAGGGTATTTCGCTTAATTTTTGACAGGCCAAAATCGCCAACCTGTTGAAAAGCAAGTTTCCTAGCATGGTTAACACTGAAGACAAAGTTATAATAGAATAAATAATCCCCATAATAAATAGATACCTTGCATATTGGCCGTAAAGGATCCTTCAAGTTTACAAGCAAATTGTCACATTTCAAGTCAAAATGCACAATATTTTTTGAGTGTAAATATTCCATTCCAAAAGCTGCATCCATGGCAATTATCAACCTCTTGCGGCGATCAAGGTACCTAGAATCAAGATCATGCAAAAATCCCTTCAACGTTTTTCATGATGAAAAATAGTTAATAGTATCTAAGGAATATAAAAGTAGCAAAATGTCAGGGCTTTCATTGAACAATAAGCCAGTAAATAGAAATGCAATAACCTAGGACGATGGATGCATTACCTATCCTTACGGAGCAAAACATGCCGAAGAGAACCATCCACCATGTACTCTGTAACAGTCGCTAATGTTGCTCCTGGTCCATCCTGAACTACACCATAAAATGCCACCACGTTTGGATGGTGAAGCTTGGAAAGTATGTCAGCTTCCCGCCAGAACTCAAGAGTCTGAGAGTGAAAATGAATGTCATCAGTATAGGCCCTTCTAATAAATTAGTGGCATGACAAAAATATGACTAAAACATAAGAAAAAGAAAAAGGAACAAAAATCACAGTATGCCATTCAAAGACAAGTTACCAGTCTCTCTTGTTCTGAAGATCGACCAGCGAAGCAGCTTTTCTTTATTCTTTTAATTGCAACATCTGATCCCCTCCATTTTCCATGATACACAGTCCCAAAGGTACCAGAACCCAGTTCTCGTAGCTCTTCAAGATCTTCATTCTTTATGAGCTGCCATGTGCATCATAAATATATGTAATAAATGTTAGTAAATCTTATGAACTTAATCCTATAATCTCAATTAAAAAAATGAAATAAAAGAAGGCGATCAAGCAACCAAGCCATCATCTTGTACAAATATTCTTCAAGCCATCATCACGGAAACAAATATTTAAAAAATATGCCATATTCATGCTTCCTAGCAAAGGGCTCATGTCACTGGAAACTGTTACGATCTAATTGCAAGGTATGGGACTTGAGTCCCACATTGGTTATATGGGTGACTAATGTGGGGTTTATATGGACTTTGAGCTCTCCTACCTCATGAGCTAGATTTTGGGGTGAGGTTTTCCCAAGGTTCGTATCAATTGGTATCAAAGTCTTCCACTATGTCTCTGAGTTGCAATCGAGCGGCGCGGGTGGTGATGCTGACATTGCAGTATTCGCCCAGTGCTAGTTAAAAACTAATGTAAAGCCAGCCCGCGTGGGAGCCGAGATTGCAGAGCGTGGTGGAATGTTACGATCCTACTCCAAGGTATAGGACTTAGAGTCCCACATCAGAAACATAAGGTTCTGGTGTGGGGTTTAAATGGACTTTGGGCTCTCCTACCTCTTGAGCTAGCTTTTGGGGTGAGGTTCGTATCAGAAACATAGATTATCTAACGGTTATGGCATCAAAGTAGTTAAGCAAGAAAAACAAAATAAAATCCTACCGGAACATATTTTCACCTACAAATTTGAAATAAGCTAATATTATATGTTTAGGATCAAATATAAAAAACCACTCCCCGTTAAACCCGACTAGCGAGTATGGGGTGGAGGAAATCCTTGTACGCAGCCTTACCCTTGCATAATTGTAAAGAGGTTGTTTCCTGGATTCGAACCCATGACCTTTCAATCATGAAGGAACAATTTTACCATTGTTCTGGTTCGCCCCCTTTATATGTTTAGGATCAAATATTACACAATTATCCATTTACGACAAGATAGAATGTAATTAACTTTTCATGATGAAAACAATGGAATTTTGAAAAATTGGAATGATAATGAAAAAAAGACCTTTACTTGACTGATTAATTGAAATCATAATTTCTACAACGGGAAATACAAAAGTAGACTAAAATTATTAGTTTCTGCAGAAAAGGTACCATAATACATCAACACAGAAGAACTATGATGCATCTAAGCATGATACCTGCAAAGTACTGATATCAAATTCCCCCAAAGAAGGATCTTGTGGGGCTATATCCACATTACTTGTTTCATTCTTGCCATCCTAAATTCAATGCATTACAAGATTTGTCAGTGAAAAAAAGCATATTTGTGTGGGCTCTTTAAATAATGAACCTTTAAAAACATACCTGATATTCAGACTCCTGCGGTCTTATGTTTTCTATTATGGCATCCATGTTCTTATTTTCATTTCCCTTAAGTTGGGCATGGTCATATTTTGGGTGAAAAACAGTGGCTTCAGTTCTAGTTGTTACAGGTAAGTTTTTCTGATTTTCTTCACCAAAATTTAGGTGGGAATCCTTTTGTCCTGCCAAAACAGCATCTGCTGGTAGAGGTTCAGATTGCAGAGATTTACTATCTCTTTCTTGTACTTTTTTAATAGTAGATGAAAAACCAAGATTATCCTGATCAATTAGAGCAACATTATCCAACCCCCCTTGGGCCAACTTCTGAAAATATGACCAATGTTTTGGCTCATGACTGTCCATGTTTAAGCTCAAACCTGCTCTATCTGTTGGTAATGGACCAATGTTTGAGGAATCTTCAGAAAGTATTGCTTTGGAGAACATATCATAAAGGAAATCACGGGGAAACCTGTCCTCAATATCAATCACAATATCACCAGGAGTCGGTCTGGATTTAGAATCATCTTGACAAATATCTTGGCTTGTGTTTCCAGTTAAAGCCAAAGGCTGTGCTTGGACCTTAGTACCATTATTGGATTCCTTGGTAGAAACCTCACCCAAGATGAGGTCTGGAAGTTTAGATGCTGGATTCTCATTATGTTCAACAGAAGGAACCTGGCGAAATGCAAGATGCTCAGTGCCCTTGGTTTCATCAACTAGGAGAATATTATGGTTATCTTTCGAACGATTGGTTTTATTTTCAGAACTGAGTACTGGATCCTCATTTCTAGAAACTTTATTGTCTAATAATACATGCTTCAACTCAGAATCCACAAGCTGTGATAACTTTGCATTCACCTGACTTGTTGCATCAGGCAACTGTTTGTACTTATGCAGCTGGGCAAATCCATCATCAATGGTATGGTCATCTGCATGCAAGGGCTTTGCAGCTGAACTGGACACTGTGTTCAGATTTGACAGATTCCCATTGTTTAATATGTCACTGGATTCTGTAACTGAATTTTTCTGGTTGAAATCAGAAAGTAAATCTGACATGAGCAAGTGAGAACCATATGCATCATCTGACTTTGTAGACCTATTCAGCCAATCTGCCTGCTCCCTGGGAAATCTCTCCGAACAATAGACTCTGTTTGGAAGTGGAGGTGGTTCAAGGCAACTGAAATCAATCACATTGGACTCAGCATCAACATGAGCGCAACTGAATGCATCAGTGGATGTTGTATAAAAGTCATCTTCACCAGATTTAGGAGCCAGTGTGGGATTCATAGTACTAACCAACGAAGAAGAATCTTCAGATGGCTGGAGCTGACCCTTGTTTTTTGATGGCGGCGCAGGATGATGGCCTTCTGATATGGCAGCTGCAACTGATGCCTCTGAAAAATTACCATGCAAATTGCCCTCGAGTGGCTGCAAGGGAATAGGATGTGGTGCTTCCGAGGAGAAATATTTTCCTGGGTCATTGCCTGAATGAATGAAATTATCATCCTTTCTTTTTACCTGCATTTCTGGTATATCTGAAATTTGTACTTGCAACTCACCGGATGCTTTCCCATCATTTACGATTCCTTGGCTAACAAGACCATGAGTAGGCACAGAAACTGGAATCCCTCTGAGATTGCGAGTCAGGTGATTAGAAGGATCAAGACCACGGTGTAGTGGATATTGACTAGTTTCCATGGGGTGAATGATCTGGTCATCATAAAAGAACGGATAGGTTTCATAAGCATTTGAGGAGGATGGTAGCATTGGTTGTGATGGAGTTGTCAGTGATGAGTTAACATTGCCAGTCAAGGAAGAACTGCTGACTCCAAATGCTTCTGCCAGAACTCTATTGGTCTCCCTCTCAATATTTTGTCCATCCAATTCGTATATGTTATTAGCAGAACTGCTGGCACCATGAAGGATTGAGTTGTTTCTTGATCCCAAGTCCATGCCATTGACAGCAACTACATACTGGATTTCAGAATCACCATCAATGCTACCTAGACCAAACTGAGTATCATCCAAATCATTTATAGAGAATAGAAACATCCTAAGCTTTAGTGATCCTCTTCTGCTTTGTAGATCATGACATTCCTCCATCATATTCCGCAGATCCTCGTCAGAAGATACTGAAACTAAGGCATCAAGATCTTCTCCAGGGAGCTGATACTTTATTACATGAGCTTCATTATATATGGATGATGTTTTCTGCATAAGCTCCTGCCAACGTATATCCTTTCTTATACTAATAATGCGTGTTTCACCCCCAACATATCTAAGTTTTCCATCACTGGGCCGTGGTAATATTTTACCACCAAAGCTACATAGAACCTTCATCTTCACTGATGAGCTGTCAGAAGCTCCAGAAGAGGCAATACGATGAAGGACTCGGCTATTGTCTTGATTAGATGAAGTTCTAGGAATTGATCGAGCTGACCCATAATTATTTCTGTCCTGCTGCAGAGAAGAGTTCCTTCTTTCAAATTCTTTTGGACCTTTTTCAACCTTTGAGAGCACAGAAATATCTGACCCACTTTCAGATCCTGCATGGCCTAGAATGCCTTGCAATTCCATGTACCCGGTTGAATAATTGGGATCACCCACAACATTTGGAAAGGCAGGCTTCCTGAGATTCACCCTATCTCTCATAAACTCAAGAGCAAATTCCTCACCAGTCTGTATGGAATAATTAAGTACAGGTTTATTTTCTGAAATGTTAAAGGCAGAAGGTCGTGTATTATGCATGACATCCAGATGTTCTTGCAGGACTGACTGTGATGCAGGATGGAATTCCTCATTTCTAGGTTCCATGGAATTGTATTGATTTTTCTGCATTCTTGGTTGTCTAATCAAAGCATCATTTGCAAAGTTAAATGCTGGGATTTATTGCAATGCCATAGTACTGGGAAGACACTTAACATCTTGTAGAAATAATGCACTCAATACTGTAAATTCCATTTCCAAATCTCACAGAGAGGGCAACAACTTCAAAAGTTTGAGTTCTTTACCAATGGCAATGAGTCAGAAAGAAGCTTTACTGATGCTCCAGATTACGTCACCATAATTAACACATGAAGAAGCTTCCAAAATCCTCAGAGCTCTTAACACTAGGTACTATTTTCAATGATCAAACTACCTTCAAAATACGTCACCCTGTGTGCATGATTAAAATTAGAAACTATTTAGAATATAAGATGTAAAAAAATATATAAACAACTACATTATGGGAATGGATACAAAATAAATGATTACAATAATATTATCCAAAAAAAAAAAAAAAATTGGAAAATGTTAAACAAGAAGAAAACGAGAAACATATAATGCAATCCGCATGATCAAGAAAACTTTGTCCCTTACACTAAACTATTCTATTTACAACATTCTACACGAAAAAATATACCACAACAGTGCAGCTATTAGAACTGTCATAATATTAAATACACCATATACCACCACCAATTTTATTTACCTGCCATAGGTACGAAGGAAAACATAGTCTTGGCCTCTAATAATTGCTTGAAGATACAAAATCTCACCAAACTCACTCTCTAAAAAGGTTGAGGATACTATAGATCTAAGATTGTTCCTTCATGATATTCATTTTGTTAGTAATCAGATAGTAGACTCTGGTCCTTGGATAAAACAAGTTCTTTATCGCACATATTTCTTTCAACCCCTAGTTCATTCCTTAACAACTACTCATTAATTACACTACCTACTTAAGAAGAAGAAAAGGATCTATAAAATAGACCATAGTATTCTAAAAAATCAATTGATAAGTTATAGAACCATAGCAGGTTGAAGTAAAGCAAAACCCAACACCAAACCAAAAAAAGGGGGAAAAAACAACTACCCATTATTCTTATAGCAAACCAAACCACATGCACAGATCAAATGAAGGAATAACTGAATAAGCAATTTAGGTCACCTAAACACCTAAAAAATTGACCCATACATAACATCACGTCTCGTCAACTCTCCCATGATTATGTAATCAAAAAAATTATCAAACCTGGGTCCTAACTACAATCTTTCACAATCAAAACACAGCATAGATGATCATAATTGCAGAAATCAAGTTTGATTCAATTGACAGAAAAAAGAAGATAAGAATCAGAAAAGTTGGAAACACAGCTGAATCAGGAAAAAAGATTAAACAGAATCAACTAAATACCTGACTGATGATTGTTTTGAGCTTCAAATAGGTATGACTCAAGAGGGTTTCAGAGTAAAAGCCATGGCTGGTATCAGAAAAAGAAAAAAAGAAAAAGGTTTTATGAGGAAAAGAAAGCCAAAATGAAACCAACTTTTTCTATAACATCTTTTGATTTCTCCTTTTTTTGTTTTAGGGTTCCAAACAACCTGAATCTTCTTCTGCTTCAATTATTCTTTTGGAACAAAACTCTCTCTCTCTCTCTCTATTTTCTCTCTCTATATCTGTGGATTTTAGAAGCTGTGTTTCTGTTTTGGAATTAAAATAAAAAAAAAAAAAAAAAATTGTGTCAGCAAAGAGTCAAAGGAGTGAAGAAGCAACTAAGTCCAAACAGTTAAGTCCAAAAATTTGCCTCTTTTTTTTATTATTTTTACTGCAACAGTTCGTTAATCGTTAACTACGTGTTTGTTAGAGAAGAAAGGATTTTTAATTTTTAATTATTTATTATTTATACTGAATAATAAATAAAGGGTAAAAAGCATTTTTTATGATATAACTAAAATAGAATAATATCGAAATAAAAGTCAAATATTTAAGTCCGTGTAGATTTAACGATGTGTAATTTCTTAATATCCTATTTAGAATAATTTCTAATAATAATGTTAAAAGAATTTATTTTCCATTAATACAAATATATTTAGCTTTTAAATACAAATAAAAACCTGTTAAAGTTTACCAAAAAACAAAAACCTGTTAAATTTTTTTCATTGCCTTGATAATTAATAAAAAATAAAAAAAATTCGAATTTTTCTGAACTATGTTTCATATTTTGATGAAGTCAAATTAAGGTAATATTTTTAAATACAAATAATTAGTTATCAAATTTTCTTTCTCATTCCGAATGAACACGTATTAGCTTATTTTATTTTTTTAGTAACTCGGTGCATAAAAAGAACCTTTGAATTTTTTTAATTTTTATTTTTGGTTAAATGATGAATTAAGCGTCTAGAGTAGATTAAAAAGATAATTAAAATCAACCAAACCATAACATGTTGTAAATAGTAATTATGTAGTCATTTATTAGTAATTATGTAGTCATTTATTTGTATTTATTTAATCTGTTACTTGTATATTGGGCCAAGCCCATTAGGTCAAAATTAGGTCAAGAAGTCTCTATAAATAGAGACCCCTATGTACAGATTCAAATACAATTCAATAATATTTCAAATACCATTTTCTTTCAAGTTGGTATCAGAGCCGGGTTGGGCTCGAGCTAGCCTGGTGATTGGCTAGGAGGCGAGTCGAGTACTTTGCACTTGGGGTACTCGGTTCAGGGAGAGCATACCAATGGTGGGTTTCACACTTGAGGGGGAGATTGTTGGGACATTCAAGTGTGATAAGTCACATATTGGTTGGTAATGAGCTAAGTGAAGAGAATATAAGTGGAAGGGATCCATGAACCCAATGCCTTAAGGTTTTGGGTTGAGGCATGGAGTCGGATCCACTCGCTACGGTTGGTGTAGCCTTAGCTCATTGGTGGTAGCCTCTCGCCACGGGCTTTCCCTGGACCCGCCTGACATATCCACTCGCTACGGTTGGTGTAGCCTTAGCTCATTGGTGGTAGCCTCCCGCCACGGGCTTTCCCTGGACCCGCCTGACATTGGTATCAAAGCTCTCGATCCAGAGGGCTCTGCTTCCGCAATTACCTCCGTTAAAACAGAAACCTTCTTTCTTAGCCTCTTGCCGCCATTAGCCGCCACCGGAAAATTTTTCCGGTGGACCTTTTGGACCAAGAGGACCAGTTTTCAAATCCTTTTTCTCTGATCTATCAGCTTACGGACGTGTTATAATCGTTTGACGATCGGATCTTCCCAAAACAACATAAGGCCGCTACTGTCCATCGCGTTTTGGACACTTTTTCGGCGACCTTTGAACTCCGACCGGCCACAGAAAGGTTCGAGACCGTCAGACGACCTTGCCGCCGAAATTTCAGCTCTGGCGGCCGCCGCACGCGCTCTCACGCGCCGCCACACTCCCGGCGAGTGAGGCCCACTCTCAGACACCTCCACCGGCGCGTGGAGGCGCGTGGGCCACTTTTTCCAGCTCCGGCCAAAAAGTTTTCTGATCTTCTCCTCATCCTCTTTCTGGATCTGTGCTCTCCTCTCAGATCGGACGTCGTTTGGTATTTGTTTTGTGATTTTTTGGCTTCTTGGAGTTTTTCTTTGACCATTTTCTGTGCAGTATGGCCTCTTCCAAAGGAGTTCTTTTTCAAAATTTTATGATGGTACCTCTTCTAGACCTAAGAGAGATGATCGATGGTGTTCTTATTGTAAAAGAACAGGTCATATCAAGGATTTATGCTTTCGCCTTTATGGGAAGCAAACTGTCTTAGAAAAGATGGCAAGGTTGCGTGGTCAACCGCATTTTACTAAAATAACTTATGCACCTAATGAGACCCAACCTGCATTTCGTCCAGATGAGTTGGAACGGCTCCGAACCATTCTTGATTCTATGAGTAAGCCATCTGATACTAGTGCTTTGACTATGACTGGTATGAGCTCCAAAACTTATTCTTTCCTTTCTTCATGTAATGATTTTAAACATTCTTGGGTTGTTGATTCTGGTGCTACTGATCATATGGCTTGTTGTGCTGACTCCTTTACTTCTTATCATCCTACCATTGGAACTCATACAATAGCCGTAGTTGATGGCTCTCATACATCAGTTGCGGGTTCTGGTGACATAAACTTACAGCAGTCCTTACATCTTAAGGATGTTCTTCATGTTCCTAAACTCTCCACAAATCTTCTTTCTATTCATAAAATTACAAAAGATTTGAATTGTATTGTAACCTTCTATCCTACCCATTGTGTTTTTCAGGATCTTGCCACGGGGAAGACGATTGGTAGTGCTAAAGAGCAAGGTGGGTTGTACTATCTGGTGTCACAATCTCCTGCAAATAAAGTAACAGATCACATCTTGATGTCTCATGGTCAATCAATTGCTGATTCTTTGATTTGGCTTCATCATAAGCGCTTAGGTCATCCTCCATTTAGTTTACTCAAATCTTTATTTCCGTCATTGTTTTTGTCTAAATCTGTTGAGTCTTTTCATTGTGATGTTTGTGATTTTGCTAAGCATCATCGTGTGTCTTTTCCTTCTAGTATTACTAAGAGTGATGAACCTTTTGATCTTATTCATTCTGATGTTTGGGGTCCCTCTAAAGTCCCTCATGCTTCTGGAAATAGATGGTTTGTTTCTTTTATTGATGATTGCACTCGTGTAACTTGGGTGTACTTAATGCGTGAAAAGTCTGAGGTACCACAACTGTTCTTTCAATTTTATAAAATGATTGAGACCCAGTTTGGTAAAAAAATCAAGAGACTAAGAACAGATAATGGTACTGAATATGTTAATCACAGATTTTCCCAATTTATAAGAAATAACGGTATGATTCATGAACTTACTTGTGTTGACACCCCCCAACAGAATGGGGTTGCTGAAAGAAAAAATCGTCACCTTCTTGAAGTGGCTCGTGCATTAATGTTTCAGACACATGTACCCAAATACTATTGGGGAGATGCTATTCTTACTGCAGCATTCTTGATCAACCGTTTACCCACTCGGGTACTTGACCATGTAAGTCCTATTCACTCTATGACTTCTTTTTTCCCTTCTATTCCAACTATGATGAGTCTTCCTCCACGTGTGTTTGGGTGTGTTGCTTTTGTTCATGTTCATAAACATCATCGCAGTAAGTTGGACCCTAGGGCTATTAAATGTGTTTTTCTTGGTTATGCTCCTGATAAGAAGGGCTACAAGTGCTATCACCCTAGTAGTAGGAAATTTTTTGTTTCTATGGATGTTACATTTCAGGAATCTGAGTCCTTTTTCCAAGGTCCTCATCTTCAGGGGGAGAATCCTTCACCAGAAATCTCATCACCTCCCTTCCTTGAGTTTGAATCATCAGTGTCTACTCTTTTACCTATGTCAGTGTATCCTCCACCTGGTCCTGTTCCTCCTGTGTCTGTTCCTCCTGTGTCTGATCCTCTTGTGAGTAATCCTCTTGTGTCTGAACCACTGGTAAGTCCTGAATCTCATATTTCTGATCATGATGCTAATACTTCTGATGACTTACCCATTACTACTGATTCTGATGATTTACCCATTGCTCTTAGAAAAGGAAAAAGAGCTTGTCCCAAGAAAGCTTCTCCCTCCTGTCCCTCTTGTACTCAATACCCTATCTCCCAGTTTGTTTCCTCTGCTAATCTTTCTGTGCAGCACAAAAACTTTGTTTCAGCACTAGACTCTATTGCAATCCCAAAATCAGTAATGAAGCCTTGAAAGATAGGAATTGGGCTCAAGCCATGCAAGAGGAGATGAATGCTTTGGAGAAAAATAAAACATGGGAGGTCATTGATAGACCAACGGAAAGAAAGCAGTAGGGTGCAGATGGGTTTATGCCCTGAAATATAATTCTGATGGCACTCTTTAGAGATACAAGGCTCGATTAGTGGCCAAAGGTTACACTCAAACCTATGGCATTGATTATGAAGAAACCTTTGCTCCAGTTGCAAAGATGAATACAGTGAGAATCTTGTTATCCCTTGCTGCCCATTACAATTAGGATATAAATCAATTTGATGTGAAAAATGCTTTCCTCAATGGTGAGTTAGAAGAAGAAGTCTACATGGAAATCCTGCCTGGTTTTGATTCTGTGAAGGGGGAAAATAAAGTTTGTAGATTAAAAAAGGCCTTGTATGGATTGAAGCAGTCACCTCGTGCTTGGTTTGGTAGGTTTACTAAGGTTATGATGACCTTAGGATACAGATAGAGTCAAGGAGATCACACTCTTTTCTTCAAGCACTCCCAAAATGGGAAGCTTACTGTGCTCCTTGTATATGTTGATGATATTATTATCACAGGTGATGATTTTGTGGAGAGACAGATTCTACAAACACGGCTTGCCTCTGAGTTTGAAATCAAAGACCTTGGGAAATTGAGATATTTCCTAGGGATAGAAGTAGCTCATTCAAGCAAAGGAATTTTTATCAGCCAGAGGAAATATGTTTTGGATCTTCTCAAAGAAGCAGGAAAGCTCGGGTGTAAACCCTCTAATACTCCTATTGAGCAGAATCACAAGATGGGCTATGAAGAAGAGAGTCCTCCAGTTGATAAAGGACAATATCAACGGCTAGTTGGGAAATTGATATATCTGGCCCATACTAGACCAGACCTAGCTTATGTTGTTAGTGTTGTCAGTCAGTTTATGCACGATCCAAAGGAAAAACACATGCAGGCAGTAGAAAGAATTCTTCAGTATCTTAAAGGTACTCCTGGTAAAGGATTGTTATTCCGACGTGATGGCAATCTATCTTTAGAAGTCTACACAGATGCTGATTATGCTGGATCCGTGACTGACCGTCGTTCTACCACTGGTTATTGCATGTTTCTTTGCGGTAACTTGGTGACATGGAGAAGTAAGAAACAAGATGTGGTTGCCAGATCAAGTGCAGAAGCTGAATTTCGAGCTATGGCTCAAGGCATTTGTGAGTTACTGTGGCTGAAAATTGTACTTGATGATCTAAAAATAAAATGTGAGGGACCTATGAAGCTGCTATGTGATAATAAGTCCGCTATTTGTATAGCTCATAATCCACTTCAACATGATCGGACTAAACATATTGAGGTCGATCGCCATTTCATCAAAGAGAAACTTGATAGCGGGTTGATTACCACTCCATACATTCCCACTGGGCGTCAATTAGCTGATCTATTGACAAAAGGGCTTCCTTCAGATAGATTTCAAGAACTTGCTAGCAAGCTGGGAATGATAAATATCTATTCCTCAGCTTGAGGAGGAGTGTTGTAAATAGTAATTATGTAGTCATTTATTAGTAATTATGTAGTCATTTATTTGTATTTATTTAGTCCGTTACTTGTATATTGGGCCAAGCTCATTAGGTAAAAATTAGGTCAAGAAGTCTCTATAAATAGAGACCCATATGTACAAATTCAAATACAATTCAATAATATTTCAAATACCTTTTTCTTTCAAGTTAACACCTGAATTACTACTATAGCAATCATCTGCATATAACCCAATGAAGCTAATTTTGTTTTCCAATTTGACTTGGCAGTGTATCATCGAACCCCAAGACATTAATTGACTATAGACACATGAAATTTGAGCCATCAGACATGGCTAAAAAAAATAAAAATAAGAAAGTTTTGAAACTGAGCACTCTTTGTTTAATGTTAGTGTACGAACTAAATTATCGCTAGCAAAAATTTGGAAGCAATAATCAACTCCACGTTTTGGGATTTAAAAAAATATATAAAATATTTTGAAAATTTTACTTCCTTATCGTATAATAAATTTTATTAAAATATCATATTTTATTAAGATAACTTTTTCTCCCATGCTACACGAGAAACATTTACCCCTAAGAATACTAAAAAAGTTTAATGTACAACAAAAAATCAAGGGTTCATTTTTCTATGATTAATATAGATAACTTATCTATATTGAACCCAAAATAATATCGTTTTGAAGCGAAAATCAAGATATTTTTGTAATTATAATTTATTTCAAGATTATTATCGTCTTTTTTATTATAATTTTTTAACCCAAAACGACGTCGTTTTAGAAGTGAATGTAGATAATTTATCTACATTCACTTTAGAAACATTAAAGCCAAAAATTAATGAGGCTAGTATTGGATCATCAAAAAGATAATACAATAAAATAGATAGTATAATACCAGATAGCATTGCCCCCGGTATTATACTACATACTTGGAGTACATTCAATAAATAAATTTAACACTACCAATTTTTTTCAAGCGAAAAAAAGCAAGTATCCGTGCCAATATTGGTATAAGATGGGGAAAAAAGAAGAAGCACCACTGTGTGTTTGAATTCATTTAGATGCCTTGTGTGTTTTGGTTTCTCTAGCAGCTGCAGACATAACACGCAGTCGACTAGCTATTTCAGTGAAGGATGGCCTAGCTGCAGGATTGGGTGCCCAACATTGCTCCATCAGTGTTCTCCATTCATGATCACAATAATTTGGTATTGTTGGCCTTAATGTGTTATTAACAATCCCACCTGCATGCCAAGACAGAAATTAATACCCTCTTCTATGGTAAAATAGATGACTAGTCCATGGAAGGGAACATTGCACAACATTTTGTGCTGTAGCCATGTTACAAGCTTGATTCATGTAATTAGCTTCTTCTAAATATAAGACAATTATACTCTTCATTAAACCTAATCTAGTGAAGGTAGGGTGAGAGCAATCTTTATATACAGTCTTACCCTTGCATATTTGCAAAGAGGTTATTTTCTAAATTTGAACCCGTGATGTTTCAACCACGAAGGAGCAACTTTATTATTATTTCAGGCTTGCCCTCTTTCTTCTTCTAAATACAAGATAAGCTGCTTAAGAGTATGGCGGGAGCTTTATAGCACTAGGCTGTCCTTTTTATGATAAATAGATTATTAGTTGACTACATACAAACTTGTGGGAGACAATCAAATCTAGAACAGTCCTTAGCTTTTGGTTGCCACATAATGAATGTGAAAAGGAAAATGAAAGCTTAAAAGAAATTTAGCCTATTATGAAAAAAACCCTAGTTGTCCAACACATCTTTGGTGTGATGTCTACGGCCTAGGTGTAAACCCTAGGTTTTCTCCTCCTTTTCATCTTTCTCTTTTAATCCGATTCATTAACCACTTTTCATTCAATATATGCTAGTTCTTTTGACCTGGATATCACAGGTTTGATTCATGTAATTAGCCTCTTGCAAATACAAGGTAAGGCTACTTAATATAGACCTACATAATGGGTCTGAGTCTGACCCTTATCTCAACACAACAAAGAACAAGAGCTTTATAGAGCCTTTATGCTAGTTCTTTTGAAAGCCCAACCTTTTCCCACCTTAAATCTTAACTAGGCGAATTTCACAAGAGCTGGTAAGGTCACTGATCAAAGAGACCACAGAAGAAGATTTGCTAATATGATATATTGTTTACTCAATGAAAAGCAGAAACCTATTTCAAGAGAACAAGAATGTAGTTCAGGCTCAGCCACAGACAAGATAAAGAAGAGCATAAGAAAAAGATCGCACCTATGATTGCACCATAGTGCATATTGGCATATGGCTCCTCACCAGTTAGAATCTCCCATAATACTATGCCAAAGGAGAACACATCAACCTACAAATCAAAATTCAATTTCAGCAACCAATAGCCCCAACCAACAGCAAGGTGACTAAACAAATATAAAGAAGCATGACAAACTGAAATACTTTAATTTCCAATCATTCCTATCCAAATATTATTGAGATATGAAAGTTCCAAGAATCCCTTATGAACAGAAGATTTCCAAAAGTAGAAAAACAAAGAAATAGCAAAATCTGTATGTTTAAAATGCACAAACAAAATAACTTTACATAAATTTCTGCTCAAAGGTGGACAGAAGTCCTGGGTACTATGAAGGCTATTATAACATCTACAAGAGAGATCAATAAACTCAGCTCCTTAGTTAAATTTCAACACTTAATTATGTGATCATAGAAAAAGCATTTCATTAAGACAAATTAAAATTCTACCTTTTCTGAGACCTTGTTGCTGCTACCATTAAGCAGCTCTGGTGCCATCCAAGGTAAAGTCCCCCGCACACCACCAGAAACCAAGGTATTTCGTTTGATTTTTGACAAGCCAAAATCACCAACCTGAGAAAGCAAATTTCTTGGTTTTCTCAACATTTAAATAAATGCAGACCATTTCAATTTCATATAAAATTGGAGGAAAAATCCTAGCTTAGATACCTTGCATATCGGCCTTAAAGGATCTTTCAAGTTCACAAGCAAATTGTCACATTTTAAGTCGAAATGCACAATATTTTTTGAGTGCAAATATTCCATTCCAAAAGCTGCATCCATTGCAATTATCAGTCTCTTGCGACGATCAAGATACCTGCAATAAAAAATCATGCTAAAATTCTTAGAGCCAAATCTATCGTAAAAAAACATGAGATTCATCACTGAACACTCTTTATTACTTAATAAATTTTGCTAGTACTTATGACTTAAGATATATATATATATATATATATGAGGGTGAGCTTGGAGCAAAGCTGCTCCTTGTGTGTTAAAGGTCACTAGTTCGAATCCGAAAATCAAAGTCTTCGGAATATGTAAGGATAAGACTGTGTATAAGGATTGCACTCATTCCTACCCTTGCTAGTCGGGGTTTAATGAAGAGTAATTTTTTATTTTATACATATTTATCATGCCTTCCATATGAGACAGGCATTATTATTAGGGTATCACTTTCACTTCATCAAATAAAAGGCAAAGTAAGCCTTGATTTATAATAGCACAACACTATAGTTTGGTTTAGATACAATGATCTGAACAAAACAAATTAATTTTTGAGCGCATTGGTTGAATAATAAAACTAAATAATAGAAATGCAGAAGCTCTTTCTAGGTGCATTACCTATCCTTGCGAAGTAATACATGTCTAAGAGAACCATCCACCATGTACTCTGCAACAGTGGCCATCGTTCCTCCCGGTCCATCTTGCACCACACCATAAAATGCCACCACATTTGGATGATGAAGCTTGGAAAGAATGTCAGCTTCCCGCCAGAATTCGACAGTCTGAGAAAAGAACCAAATATCATCTCACATGCCTCAAAATCGATCACTATCATTGAAGCACTTTCACGTAAGTGTGTTAAGAAGGAGAAAATAATAATAAAAACGGTAAGAACAATATTTAAAATGAAAAATGAGATAGTGATGCTATCAAATGGAAATTAAATTGTAAGTTACCAGTCTCTCTTGCTCAGATGATCGACCAGTGAAGCAGCTTTTCTTTATTCTTTTAATGGCAACATCTGTTCCTCTCCATTTTCCATGATACACAGTCCCAAAGGTACCAGAACCAAGTTCCCTCAGCTCTTCAAGATCTTCATTCATAATGACCTACGAGTTGCATCAGAACAATGAAAGTGAAATGGACTGAAGATTTTCACGCCAGTATTCAAGCAACACAACGAATGCATATCTGAAGCCTGACAATATTTGTAAAGATACACAAAAACATCTAGATGATCACAGAAGCGTTTATTTCACAAGGTCAAATGAGAGAAGGAAAATTTTCCAAGACACATGACCCAAAACTTTATTGAGTTGTCCATTAAATGCATTGCTAATCTATATGTTAGCTATACTAAACATGTCAAAGAAACACTTGACCAAAGAATTTTAATAGTTAAATAAAGGCCATCAATAACTTTCATAAGTTCAACTTCCCAACCCCACCCTAAAAGGTCTCCACTAGCTGAAACACATACGCGCATGCACAGCTACCTCAAGCTGAAATTACTAAAATTTAATAATAACACATGTATCAACTATTTTGGACAGTTTCCGTATTCATAAAACTGGTGACTAGAACAATATAAAATAAATCTCTCTTAGGGAATAATATAAATCATTAAAAAAGCCCTCACCCAACACCTTAAGATTTTGAGTTGAATTGGTTCTTTACATGGTATCAGAACTTCAGTGACCACAAGGTCACGAGTTCGATCCTCACTGCCCCTCACTTGTGGAATTAAATAAGCATAAGGTAAATCAAAATAAAATAAAATTGGGTCTATGCAATATCCACACTTCAAACCCAAAAGACGTTTACGTGAGAGGGCGTGTTAGAGAATAATATAAATTATTAAAAAAGCCCTCACCCAACACCTTAAAGTTTGGGTTGAATTGTTTCTTTACAATCTCCAAGTAAACTTATGCAAGTTTTCTTTTGAATTAATTCCCAGAGGATCAAGTTTGTCAACAAAAACTTTTAGGGAGTACCAACTAGGAGTCAAAACAGATAGAATGATAATTGACAAAGTATTTGACTATATAGTCTAGACACAATCCTATTTTTCATTTGTTGGATTTATGGTCCTAAGAAGCACGCCCTCAGTTTTTAATTTCATATAAATAAGTGACAGAGGGAGAGACCAGTCAATTTATAAATAATATCAATTAATTTCTAAAATTCACCTAAATATACTTTTTTCTTTCAAGAATGGCCAAAAATATTAACATACTGTCAAAGGTGTTTGAAATCCCACCCAGTACAAGCACATAGCCACTTTATTAGACCACACAAACGAATTATTAAAAGTCAAATTTGATGCTTTTACATCTTGCTTTAGAAAGGAAACTTCAAAACATTCCGAATAGTAAGAAATCAAACTACTGATCCAATGAATGGTCCATTGAGGGATTGTAATTGCTGTTTAGCAACGTCTGCAGCATTGATATGATTCATCAAATGAAAATAAGCGGCTGGGAATAGTTTATCATGATCGTGTAATGTTCATCACTAAAATGTGAAGCATCTGAATTCACTGCCAATTTACACTTCTGAAGTCAACTTAATCAAACCTTGATTATTACATTAATAATTAAGAACCAAACCAACAAAACATATTATTGAAAAGAAGTTTTCGTATATTGATATTGAATAATTTACATGAGTGAGTATTTATACAAGAAAGAATCGCTAAGAATGACTAAGCGATGACTAATCACAATCAATTCTAATCAATCACAATCAATCCTAATCAATCATAATCAATCCTAATTAATAGGAAATAAAAACGGAAATATGTTTGAATTCTGATTTTCTACACTCCCCCTCAAGTTGGGAGGTAAATATTGATCATTCCCAACTTGCCAATCAAGTCTTCGAATGCTGGACGGTGTAGGCCCTTGGTAAGGATATCTGTCGTTTGCTCTTTGGTTGGAACATATATCAAACACACACTTCCATCATCTAATTTTTCTTTGATGAAGTGACGATCAACTTCCACGTGCTTTGTTCGATCATGATGCACAGGATTTTGAGCAATGCTAACAGCTGCCTTGTTGTCGCAATATAGTTTTATTGGTAGGGAATATGAAATCTTCAACTCTTGAAGAAGTCTTCTCAACCAGATTCCTTCACAAACTCCATGAGCTAAAGCTCGAAATTCTGCTTCAGCACTACTTCTTGCAACCACTGTTTGCTTTTTGCTTCTCCAAGTAACAAGATTTCCCCACACATAGGTGCAATAGCCTGAGGTAGATCTCCTGTCTACTGATGAGCCTGCCCAATCTGCATCAGTGTAGATTTCAATTGTCCTTTTATACCCCTTTTTAAAGAATAATCCTCTTCCTGGAGTATTCTTGAGGTATCTAAGCACCCTATAGACTGCACTAAGATGCTTCTCCTTGGGTGAGTGCATGAATTGACTAATCATACTCACCGCAAAGGCAATGTCAGGACGCGTATGAGATAAGTAGATTAGTTTACCAACCAATCGCTGATATTGTTCTTTATCCACCTCATTCCCATCTTCAATACCTAACTTGGTATTAGGTTCCACAGGTGTCTCAGCAGGTTTACACCCTAACATTCCTGTTTCCAACAAAAGATCTAGAACATATTTCTTTTGTGTTACAGTGATGCCTGTTTTGCTCCTAGCAACTTCCATACCAAGGAAATATTTGAGAGTGCCAAGGTCTTTGAGTTCAAATTGAGCTGCTAGAAATTTCTTCAAGGTGTTCAATTCCTCAATATCATCACCTGTAAGAATTATATCATCTACATATACAATAAGAATAGCAATTTTACCATCCTTAGAGTGTTTGTGGAAGAGAGTATGATCAGTCTGTACTTGAATGAAGCCTTTTCTTTTGACTGCTTGTGTGAATTTATCGAACCATTCTCTGGGAGATTGTTTCAATCCATATAGAGACCTTTTTAGTTTACACACTGATCCATTTCCCTTTTCAAAACCAGGTGGAGGATCCATATAGACTTCTTCGGGTAAGTCACCATTTAGGAATGCATTCTTCACATCTAACTGTTGCAGAGGCCAATCTAGATTGGCAGCAAGAGATAAGAGAACTCGGATGGTATTGACTTTAGCAACCGGAGCAAAAGTCTCATGATAATCTATCCCATGAGTCTGAGTGAAACCCTTTGCAACCAATCTTACCTTGTATCTGTTGATGCTATTATCTGCATTGAATTTTATTGTAAACACCCATTTGCATCCTACTGCCTGTTTTCCTTTGGGTAGGGTCACTATCTCCCAAGTTCCATTTCTTTCTAAAGCATTCATTTCTTCAAAGACAGCATCCCTCCATTTTTTGATCATTGAGAGCCTCATGTATATTTCTCGGTATCTTTGTACTATCCAACATAGTATTGAAAGCACGAAACCCTGGGGACAACTTTCCATATGAAATATGATTAGAAATAGGATGAGTAGTACAAGATCGAGTACCTTTTCTGAGAGCAATGGGCAAGTGTAGATCATTTTCACCATGACACTCAAGTATTGGGGTGCTGGAACTAGAACATGGTTCAGAATCCTGGCAATGTAGAGGCTCTGGGTTATTCACACTTTGAGGAGGCTTTCGCCTGCTATAAACTTGTCCCCATGTTGAGGACGCTCTTGATGGTGAGGATTCTGTAGCTCCCCCTGTTTCCAAAAGTAGAGGTAATACCGTGGCATCAGTAGGTTCCCATGACTGATCTTCATCTACTCCTATAGTCTCCCCCTGAAGAGAAGTCGAGGGGAAGAAAGGGTCATTCTCAGAAAAAGTGACATCCATAGAGACAAAGACCTTACGAAGAGAGGGTGAATAACATTTATAGCCACGTTGAGTAGGAGAATAACCAATAAAGACACACTGAAGAGACTTAGGATCAAGCTTAGACCGTTGATGGGAGGGAATATGGACAAATACAACGCAACCAAATAACTTGAGAGGTAAGGAGGAGACACCTCGAAAGGAAGGGAAGATACGAACAAGACTAGAAAGAGGAGACTGAAATTTCAGAATGCGAGATGGCATTCGATTTATCAGATACGAGGCAATGAGAACTGCCTCTCCCCAAAGATATTTAGGAACACTCGTGGTAAACATAAGAGCCCGAGCAACTTCAAGGAGATGTCGGTTTTTTCTTTCCGCAACTCCGTTTTGTTGGGGTGTGTCAGGACACGAGCTTTGGTGAAGGATGCCATGTTGGGAAAGAAATTCTCCAAGAATAGAGTTAAAATACTCTTTGCCATTATCTGTACGAAGAATTTGTATAGCAACTTGGAATTGGGTTTGAACCATGGCATGAAATTTTTTAAACACGGATGCAGCATCGAACTTATCCTTTAGAAGATACACCCAACAAACTCGAGAATGGTCATCAATGGAGGTAATGAACCATCGAGTACCTGAAATATTTTTAACACGGGCTGGACCCCATATGTCACTATGAATTAAGGAAAATAGGGAAGAGTCATGGTGAACTTTAGAAGGATAATGAGCACGAGTATGCTTGGCAAGTTGACAAATATCACAAGAAAACAAATTTGGACTTTTATTAATAAATAAGTTTGGCAACAACTTCTGAAGACAAATAAAATTTGGATGGCCTAGCCTACGATGCCACAGCATAACATCATTACATGAATCAAAAGGAAACATGGAGTTTTTTTCTACGAAAACAGCTTCATGAGTCACATCCTCCTCAAAGTAGTAAAGTCCACCATCCTCTCTAGCACTGCCAATCATCCTCTCCGAGTCCTGTTCCTGAAAAACACAACCATGTGGAAAGAATTTAGCAAAGCAATGCAACTCAGAGGTGAGCTTGCTAATGGAAATGAGATTACAAGTCAGAGAAGGAACATAAAGAACTGATGTCAAAGTAATCAGCTCATAAAGTTTAATGGTTCCGTGTCCCGCAATCTGGGAAAAACTACCATCGGCGATCTTGACCCGAGAAGGTTCAGAATATGGAGTGTATGAACAAAACAAGCCAAGATTACCTGTCATATGATCAGAGGCTCCAGAATCAAGGATCCAATGATTTTGACTATCAACATGGAAAGTTGTACCTTGCTGGACCACATGACTAGTGGCCTTAGGAAGGGGTGATGAGGAGGCGGAAGAGGAAGGGGAGACCGTTGATGAAGCCATGAATAGAAAGAGAAGGGTTGACCGTTGATGAAAAATCAAGTTTTGTAAATTTTTGATCTGACCTCTGGAACAGGAAGGGGAGAAGCCGGCGAGAAGGTCTGTGCAAGTCGCGGCGGAAAAAGACGTTGGGAAGGCGGCGCGTGGAGCTCACGCGCCGGAGACTGGCAGCGCGTGTGACGGCACGTGGCGGCGCGTGCGGCGGTTGACGGCGATGGGTCCAGCGGCGGTCGACTCGTCGGATCCTTCTGAGTCGAATGGTCACCTCACTTTCTTGATCGGAGGTCAGTAGACTAGGTTTCTGTGTTGGACAGATTCAAGGAGGTGTTTAGGAGGTGTTTGACAGTGATGGAAGTGTTTGGATGGTTATTTCAGATTTGAATTAGGGTAGGAACAAACCCGCTTTGATACCATATTGAAAAGAAGTTTTTGTATATTGATATTGAATAATTTACATGAGTGAGTATTTATACAAGAAAGAATCGCTAAGAATGACTAAGCGATGACTAATCAATCCTAATCACAATCAATTCTAATCAATCACAATTAATCCTAATCAATCATAATCAATCCTAATTAATAGGAAATAAAAACGGAAATATGTTTGAATTCTGATTTTCTACACATATCATATCATTCTCAAACCTAAGCTTATTAGCATTCATTTATATATAAGGCAACAATCCATTTACAAAAGTCAGATAACCAGTAATGAACTTTCTTTAACAAAATCCTCCTTAGTTTTCCCTCCCCCAAAAATAAAAATCACAGCACAGAAGAAATACTTCACATGCAAGAATGAGCATCTTACCTGCAAGGTACTCATATCAAATTCTCCTAAAGAAGGATCAAGAGGAGGTAGATCACTGTTTCTGGTTTCAAACTTCCCAACCTAAGTTAAAACGATAAGAACTTTTGTCAGAAGATAAGTATTTTCATACAGATTCTGAAACCAAAAAATATTAAAATCATACCTCAGATTCTGACTCTTGTGCTCTTAGGTTTTCCAACATAGCATCAAATTGCATACTTTCAGTATCGTTCACTTGGGAATGATCATAATTTGACTTAAGAACAGAGGTTTCTTTTCCAATCTTTCCATGTATGTCTTCCTGATTTTCTTCACCAAAATTGAGGTGGGACTCTGCATGGTTTAGAGAAACTTCATCAGTTGTTAAAGGTGCAACATGTTGAGTTCCATTATCTCCTACCATTGTTCCTACCGCAGGTAAAAAACCAAGATGATCCTGGTCAATAAGAGACACATTATCGATCCCTTCTTGAGCCAATTTTTGAAAATAAGACCATGGTTTAGGTTCATGATTTTCCATGTTTATGCTTAGCCCCACCCCATCTGAGGTTAATGGATGTATACCAGAGGGATATTCTTCAAGTATTGCTTTAGAGAACATGTCACTAAGCAATTGACGCGGGAATCGATCATTAATATCAATAAGAATGTCACCTTGTGCTTGTTTGGAAACAACATTGGAATGAAAATCTTGAGAATCATCTTTTGTAGTTGTGTTCCCATTTGAAGAAACAGGTAGTGTTTGCACATTAAAATCTTCATTAGGTTCTTTCACAGAGGTATCACCCCAATCAATATCTGGAAGATTGGATGCTGGATCATCATGGTGCTTAACAGAAGAAACCTGGTGCAAAGTAGGAAAGTGTGATTTGCTGTCTTTTGTCTCATCAAGCAGGGGTTTATTATGGTTATCTTTATAATAAATTTCTGTTTCCAACCTAACAACATTATCCTTATGTAACACATCTTTACTTCCTTCATTGTCTGGTAATACCTGCTTCAACTCAGGATTCACATTCTCAGTTAGCTCTGAATTCATCTGATTGTTTGCATCATGCAAGTTATCACCAGTTTCTGTAACTGAATCCGGCGGGTTGACATCAGAAAGCAAATCTGAAACATGAAACTGAGAACTGTGTGCATCATCCGACTTTGAGGACCGATTCAGCAACTCCACTTGCTCCCTGGGAATTCTTTCTGAATAGTAAACTCTTCTAGGAAGAGGAGGCGGGTGAAGAGAACTCAAGTCAACACCATTGGGGTGGGAATCAACATAAGCAGGACCAAATGCACTGCTAGATGTAGAAGAAGCCTCTTCATAATCTTGGATCTGGTCCATTTTTGTTGGAGGTAATGAATGCCCCTCTGGCATAGTAACCATAACTGATGCTTCAGGGAAATTATTTCTCAAGTAACCATTAAACAGTTGTGCAGGAGCTGGAGATGGTCTTTCCAAGGATAAAACATCCCCAGGGTCACTTCCTTGTTGAAATGAACTATCACCCATCTTTTTCGCCAATGTTGCTGATATTTCTGAATTTTGTACTTGTAATCCAATAGGTGGAAGGCCTTCATTGAAAACCTCTTGTTGATTAATCAGCATATGAGGAGGCATAGTAATAGGAGTCTCTCCAATAACAGGTTTATGAGAAGGATTAAGGCCATGATTAATAAAATATTGACCACTAGGTTCGCCATGGCCCATCATTTGATCACCATAAAACATTGGATAGGTTTCATAACAATTTGAGGAAGTTGGTAGCACTGGTTGTGAAGACTGATTAACCAATGATGAGTCAAAATTGTTAGTCAGGGGAGCATTGCCAGCACCTACAGATTCTACAGAAACTCTATAATTCTCTCTGTCAATATTTTGCCTGTCCAATTCATTCATATCATTTGCTGAAAAGCTGACACCAATTAGGGTTGAGTTTTTTCTTGATCCCAAGTCCATGCCATTAACAGCAACAACATACTGGATCTCAGAATCATCACCTCCGGTGCTGAGACCAAACTGAGCATCCTCCAAATCACTCATTGAGAACAAAAACATCCTAAGCTTTTGTGATCCTTCTCTATCTTCTACATGATTAAATTCCTCCATCATATTCTGCAAATCCTCATCAGATGACACAGATACCAAAGCATCAAGTTCTTCCCCTGGAAGCTGATACTTGATTACATGAACCTGATTATAGATTAGCAATGCTTTCTGCATAAGTTCCTGCCAAGATATGTCCTTTCTTATACGAAGAATGCGTGTTTGGCCTCCAACATACCTTAGCTTTCCATCAGAGGGTCGTGGCAATATTCTACCACCAAAGCTGCAAAGAAATTTCATCATCATTGATGAGGTATCATAACCTCCAGAAGAACCATAGCCATGCACAAATTGCCTATTGTCCTGATTCAGTGAAGCTTTTGATATCGATCGAATTGACCCATAATTGCTTCTGTCTCCATGTGTAGATGTGTTCATTCTATCGAACTCTTTTGGATATTTTTCAACCATTGAGAGCATAGAAATATCTGATCCTGTTTCAGACCCTGCATGACTGATGCCTAAAATGCCTTTCAGCTCCATATAACCTGTTGTATAATTGGAATCACTTACAGGCTTCCTGAGATTCACCCTATCTCTCATAAATTCAAGAGCAAATTCCTCACCCGTCTGTATCGAGTAATTAAGTACAGGTTTAACTTCTGATGTATTGAGATCAGGCCCTCTTCTACTAGAATGCATGTTAACCAGATGGTCCTGCATTACTGATTGTGATCCTGGCTGATGTTCTTCATCTCTAGGTTCCATGCTATTGAATAGGAATGTGTTTTGGAATCTTGATTGTTCCATCACACAATCTTTTTCTTCTTTATAAAAGAATAATTCATCAAAAGTCTGAGTCAAAAAGAAGTTCTAAACTTCTAGCAGCTGAGCAGTTTTAGCCCCTATATAGAAATTTGAAGACGCATCTGCAATCTTGAAAACTACCAAGAACTGTAAAGACAGTGGAATCAGGACAAGTTTTAGCAACAAATTAACATGCAATGAGATTCAAAGTAGATGGAAACAAATGTATGATATACCAGCAGACAACATCAAATATTAAGCTACAAAAAAACAACTATAAAAGCCTACACAATGGTAGCACCTATTGCTAAATTCACATCAACCATTTTTTATATAATAAATAACTTTGATACTGAATGATGGATTTGGAGCAGTGGAGTAATGCTATTTAGTGGACAACTCTAACTGCCTTTCCATGGCTAAAGAGATATTATGTCTCTAGGGCATGACTTGAATGACCTAAACATCTCTGAGATCATGCAAGCTTGCAAATGTCTCAGTAAGTTCTCAAATAAATTACACACATGACACATCTAGTCCTGCAATAATAATTCTGAAAACTTGCAAGCTCTTCACTCAACTAGTCTAAGATGTTTATTGAATTCCACAAAGTGTTTTAAGCTCATGATGATCTTTAAAAATAACAAGAAACTTAACAAGCCAATTGCATTCAGGGGTAAATCAGCTAATTATCAAACACAGTAGAAGTAGCAGCCAAGCCAAAAAGCCATTACCAACCCAAAATATGAAACATCAACGAGGAAAAAAAAAATCTTAATTTTAGCAAATTTGGTCATAATCAAGACTCCCCCAGAAACACAATCAGAACCCCTTCAACTCCATCTCTATTCCAGTATTCATAAACGCAAGATTATCAATCTAGGGTTCTGCCTATAATAATTTAACTTCACAATGAACCAAACAAAAAATAAAGAGAATCACAAACACAGCAATAAAAACAGACAGAATATGAAACTGCATCTAGCTACCCAATAAGGAAAAAATAATAAAAAACAAAACTTTCTCTTACCCATTGCTCTAGTTCAAAAGATGGAGCTATGGTTCAAGAAGGGATCAAAGGAAGAAAAGAAAAGAAAAAAAACCATTTTTTGAATACAAAAACAGAGCTTTCAGAGGAAGTTCAAAAGAACCCAAGTTGTTTTTTTTCTTTTTTCTTGTTTAGGTATCGGGCACTAACGTTGGTTTCACACAGAGTGTGAATCAACTTGTACTTCAAGTTGTTCAAACCCTTATCTTGCAGAAAAAGACGGTTCTTTCTTACTCTTTCTCTCTCTACCAGTTGCATCCACCGACCGTCCTTTCCGTTTTCGTTTGTTTCGAAATTCATTTTATTATTATTTATTTCTGCATTTAGTCAAACGAGAAATCCAGAAACCAATCGAGTCACGTTGCTACCCTGATGAGTGATGATGTAATTGCATCACATGGGACAAAGTAATTATTTCTCTAAGCTATATTTAATTACGAGGGAGGATCTATAAAGTGTTATGTAACATTAAGATGTTTTATGGAGTTATATTTATTAGATAATTATTAATTTTAAATAAATTATAACTGTTAAATAGATGTAAATTAACGAAAGTAAGATTTTTAATTTTATATTAGGGGATAGGATATTGTAACAATCAAGCAATGTTATAAAAATCGGACCGACCCGGCCCGGTTGATCCGAAAACCGGTGAACAGGTCATGTAACCGGTCTGGTTTTGATATTGGACCGGCCATGTTACAGAACCGGCGTGACTCGGTGCGACCTGGCCGGTTTTCGTAAAAACTGGTGACCGGACCAGGTCTATAAAAAAAAAACTAATTTATTTTCATAAATTAATGTATTTTTTTTTTTTACTCTCAAATACAAATGATTTGTTTTCTTTTGAAATATTTGAGTGATTTGTAGCTTATTAACTACATAGATTATGTACCTACAACACTAATATTATCTTGATTATGCAATATGCAGGGAATTTTGATTTTATTTATAGTTAGAGATGTCGTTTACTGAACCTGAAACACTAGTATCACAAATATTATATGTTTGATTGATCTTTGTCGGACAATGATGTGTAATTTATTATTTTCATATTAAAATATTTGAAATTGATATTTTTTTTACAAGTATTTAAGTATATTTATAGTTTTTTTAATATAAATTGTAGATTTACATATACTTACCAGGTCATGCGGTTGAACTAGTGACCCACTGGTTGAACCAGTGACCCAATACCTCGACCGGGTCAATAATCGGGCCGGGTTTAATAACATTGCAACCAAGTATAGTTATTACCAATGTTACTACCAATCAATTTCACCATTAGATTGGTTATTTTGATTCGACAGTTCAGATTTGATTCTTATATAGCCTCTTTCTCTCCCTCTCCCTCTTCCCTTCTCTCTCTCACTATACTCTCTACACATAGCCGCCGCTACCCATCGCCGCCGCCGCCGACAGTAACGCTCAAAGATTTTGATCGCTCTCTTTTTATTTTGTCTCAATACACACTGCGAGTCAATTCGTATCCCACACTTCCCGTGTGTATCCACGGCTAAATCCTTATAGCATATTTGAATTTACATTTTGATACTTCACTGTAAGTCAGTAAATAGTAATGTGATTTTACGAAAATTAAAAATAAAAATTGGTATCTCTTTTCAATTTAATCTCAATTTTCTTCCTCAGGCACGAACCCTAATCCCAAATTTTCCAATTTTCGTCGTTCACTCTCTCGCAGAGCTATGTGCTCCTTCAATCGCTCGCAGATTCGAAGCTCCTTGCGTCGGTGATGGGCAGCGACGGCAGCGATGGGCAGCGATATCGATGATGGGCAGCGGCGGCTATGTGTAGAGAGTATAGTGACAAAGAGAAGGGAAGAGAGAGAAAGGAAGAGAAAGGGGCTACATAAGAATCAAATATAAACCGTGGGATCAAAATAACCAATCTAACGGTAAAATTGATTGATAGTAACTATACTTGGTTGTTATAATATCCTACCCAATTTTATATTGAAGTTAAAAGATTCTATCTCTTTAATTATTATTTAATTTGAAATTAAGATTAATAACATGAAATAAGAATGTCGAGGGCTGATTTAAGGGGGCGTTTGTAGCTGGTATTTTTCGGATATTATCGTCGTAAACTGAATGTTTTTATCATATTTCTAAAATCGGGATTCTCTAATAAAAGAAAGATTTCTCCTCTGTCAAACCCCTGAGTGACACTATGCACAAATTGTTAAAAGAGTAGGGATTCGAATCATTGAGAGCTCATTTATTAAAAGAGTAGGGTTGTATAAAAAATCCAGATGAATCGAACACTGTGAACTAATTCAAATATTTTAAAAGAATTATATTTTTTTTAGCTAGTTCAAGAATGAAATCATTTTATTCGAATTGATTCAAAAATGAAATATTTTTTTAAAATCAATTTGGTTCAAGAACCCAACTACTTTCAAAATTTTGTTCATTTCGAGCTAAAAATCGAATTGAACTCAATTATATCTATTTTGAAGAACCGAACACTTTTGAAAACCAATTTGGTTCGCTCAAAACCGGACCATTTTTTAGTTCAGTTTGGTTTGGAAACTTGTACTGAAAATGATAATTAGAATCATAAAATCCACAAAAATGAGATGAGATGACATTTATAAAAATGTGTTGATGATTTAGTTTATGGGTTATTTTTTTTAAATTAATTTAGATAATTTTGTCTAATATTTACCAAAACAACATTGTTCTTGACAGAAATTATGATGTATTTGTAATTTTAAATTATTTCAAGGTTATAATGTTTTTATCATTCTAATTTTTTAATTTTTCAATCCCACAACTATGTCATTTCGGTGAACACAAAATTGTCTAAAATAATATGAGATACTTTTTTCCTTAGTTTATTACTTTTATATATAAAAGAATATATTTTTTTAGAGTGGCTAAATTTTTTACTGCACTCTGTCTTGAAGAATGACACATGTCATTCTCAGTTTTATTTTTCTAATTTCTAATTTAAATTAACTACATACTTTTAACATGATAAATATTTTTCTTAAATTTTTTATTTTTACTTTTATATTTCACTTAAATATAAACATATCTATGTACAGAAAAAAAAATATAAACATATCTAACGATTACATGTTTTCTTATTAGGTACTATTATGTATTATTGAGTACATCATAGTAGTTATACGGAGGGTTTGAACAGTGGACAACGAAGATGCATGATGGAAACAAAGAAAAATTCCCATTAAACTTTTTTTATGGTAACTATATCATTTCTTAATATAATTTAATATCTGTAATGTATATTTTTTAAAAAGTTTATGGGCCTGTAAAGTAACTCATTATGCTACGTATGTGAGTTCCATAAAAATTCGTCATTAATGCTCCCACTGGCAAGATAAACTATCCATAACTAGACAACTACTCTGCCATGTTACAATAACTTCATTTAAGAAGGAAAAAGTATTTGTGAGAAAGTTTCTTTTTTTTTCTCTTTCTTTTTTATGATTTACATGCTGAATTTCATTTTAACGACGTTTTATATGGTTTAAAAATCATATTTTGAATGAAAATTTTAAATTTAGAGTAACAATAAGATTTATAAATAATGATTGCATTTTAAGATAAATATTTTGTAAAAACATTTAAAATAAATTACACTTTTTCCCTTTATAAATAGTTGAATTACATTTTTTTCTTTATAATTATATACTCTTTTCCTTAAAAGACTAATGAATAATATTACATTTTAAACCATTTTAACGTGAATAAACATGTTATTGTTGTTATGGACCCATATAAGAGGCATATTGATTGACAGATCTAACAAGGGACAATCTAAGATTTAAATTAAGTATAACTATAGAAGGATATCCATCAAGGATACCAATCCTAATACGACAATATGACCAATGGGCCTGAGCTCTCATCAAAGGCACTAAAGGTCCACAATCTACTACCCACAGGTAAACTAGGTAAAACCTACAGGTATGTACGCTCTCTCTTTTACTATTATGTTGTCATTGTGCGCACATACACCCCTTTGGCAAAACCGTTACTGTTTGATTGTGCACAGTGATTTACTTGACTCAAGGGTATCTCCTTCATAGATACATTGAAGAGGGCGCTAGATCCAAGATCAATATACTAGTCCATTGGTGTAAGAACCTGCACCGTTAATTAAAGAAGTTAATTAATTAATTATGAGAAATTAGGAAATAATTTCATAATTCTCCCTAATAATTATTATGAGGCTTAAATAACTATGGTAAGTGAGTAATAATGCTGAAAGTCGTTTTTCTGACGAAAAGTGCAGATACCGGTTCTGCTACTCGGTATAAATGCGTACCGGTGAAGTATCTCGGAAAATTATGAAAAATGTGTATATGTCACTAGAATAATATATAGGACTTGTAAAACGAGTTTCAAGTTAAAATAATGAGAACTGGTTCCATAACTGATACTAGCTATGGAAAAGCGCGTACCGAAAAGGTGCTGCGAAAAATAAAATAAAAATATGACAAATCTTAGATAAATGGCTAGGTTCAGAATCTCAAGTTTGAGATTAAAAAGATAAGCGTAGCTATTAACACTGATACTGCGCGATTAAACTTAAGCGCGCCTATAAATACCCAAGGGCACATGATCCTAGGTCAACCCTTCATCTTCTACGTAGCATTTTCTGAACCTAGGGAGACAGCCACCTTCTCCCACCTTCTCTCCTCCATTGAAGCTCCAAGAGAGCACCTTTCCACTTAGTTCCTTCACCAAAGTTGCTTATAAGAGTGTGCTTTAGCCTTGGGTGGGTGAAAGTCCAGCCATTTCTGAGTTGTGGGTGTTATGTTGAGTGAGGGAGCTGCTATCTTGGAGGTTGTGAGGTGTAGGAGCCATCTCCATGCCATTTTGTGCTTTCATGGTGCCATTTTGATGAATAAAGGTCTAACCTTGTGATACATTTTCGTGGCTTTGTTGAACCTGAGTTTTGGGCCAGTTTGGAAAGCTCCAAGAGGCTATTTTCTGCTGAGTTTGAGCCTTCATAGGTATACCTTGAACATTCTCTTTGAAATTTCATGAAAATAGCTTGTTTGTGTCATGAAATGAGATAACTTTAATCATTCAAGCTTAAGGTTGTTAATCTAGGGTTAATAAATGATAATGAACATCTGTTTTGGGTCAAAACCGAATCTTGGATCATGGGGAGCCAGTTTTGCTTTGGATTGTGCAGAAAAATTCTGCAGAAAACTGTTCTGCCCGCGTGGTAATCGATTACCTTTAGTTGGTAATCGGTTACCATGT